ACACACGCATACACAAACAAACACATGCAAATGTTTTAGTCGCCCTCCTGTTTCCTACCTTTTAGGTGCAGGAGGGTGACTTCCCTGGGGTCCAGTGGCTGGCTCAGGCTGATGGGAGTTCCCATGCTGACTCCCTCCTCTCCTTCCTCCTCCCACACGGCTCTCAGTGGTTGCTGGGAGGAAGTGACTGGGGCTCTTACCTCTTCCAAGCACTCTGAGCTTACTACTTCTGCGCTTTCATAGCACGACCGGGCCCCTGGAACTACATTGCACAAAGACAATTGCTAGAGGTGAAGTTAATGCTCAAGGGTAATTATTGCAGTTTATTAAAAACTGCAATAATTACCTTTTCTGGGTCAAGGGACATGGGAATATGCAGACCACTTCAATTAGCTCAATTTTGCCATTTGGATTTAAAACTCCTGCAATTTGGAATTCCTGATAATTCACATTTTATGAATAACTTTTGGAAGAGGTAGCAAATTTATATCGAGCATCCAAATCACAAAGTATAATTTCTGCAAAAGGATGTATTATATCCCCCTGCCCATTATCAGTGGTTGCTGGTGATGTTTAAAGATGGTGGACCACTGCACCCATACCAACTTATTGGGCTCTACTACCCACTTAACCCATGAGATGCCAAGCCCTGTTCAAGAACAGCCGCATCTCCAGCTATCAAATAAGGTGAGAATGGAAACTGCAGATATTATCATGACAAAGGCGTTCATTCTAACTCACACTTCTCAGTAGTCCTTACTACACTTGTGTAACAATGTGTTTCAGGTGGCAGGAACGAATCAACTCTCTTTTAATTCATGCCCAATGAATCGATTCATCCAGGAATTACTAGTGAAGTGGTATTCAATGAATACTACATATTACACAGATAAATCTAGGATGGATCGATTTATTGGGTGTAAATTAAAAGGAATGTGATTTGTTCAAGCCTCCTGAAAAGCATTGTTACACAAGAATATGCCCCTATGGTCCAGGTTCCACTGCTACAAATTTTAGAACTCATTAAATTGAAAGTCTGCATCACTCCCACATGCAGGGATGTATTTACCACAAGGCAAACAAGGCATTTGCCTAGGGCGGCACTTTCAGGGGGGCGACAAAAAATTCCACCCCAAGCTCCCAGACAAATGCCTTGTTTGCCTTGTGTTCTGGGGCTGTCCACCTTACTGTGAGTGAGTGAGTGAGTGAGTGTAGCTGTCAGTGTGTGTCTGTGAGTGAGAATGTGTGTGCCTGTGAGTGTGTGTCAGTGTGTGTATGTCATTTTATGTGTATATGAGAGTGTGTGCCTGTCAGTGAGTGGGTGTGTCAGTGTGTGTCTGTCAGTGAAAGTGTGTGTTGGTTAAAAAGTGTGTGCCAATGACTGTGTATCTGTCAGTGATTGCATGTATCAATGAGGGCATGTGTCTGTCAGTCCAAAAAATGGCTTTGACACGAATTGGGGGGGCAAATTTAGATTTTGGGGGTGCCCGAATTTAGTTGTGCCTAGGGCAGCACAAATCCAAAATACACCACTGCCCACGTGCAACAGGTTTAATTACGGTACTATACTTTGACCACAGAAATTTTAAATCTTACTTGGAAAAAAAATCTCCATCTCAACTAAGTCACAGCATAGCTATGTTAGCCTAAAGTCTGTCATTCAAATCTCAGATGTTAGTGAATGAACCCTCTAAATACTTACATTTAATTCAAAGTGTAAGCCAAAAAGGGCAGCTGAATGTATATCTTTCTTGGAGATTTTTTCACCCCATTTTTAATATTTACCCTATTTTAATATAAAGTTTGCAATTGACTCTGAATTCCCACTTAGTAAATTAAGTTGTGATGTGCAAGCATTTACCTGTAAAAAAACAAACAAACAAACCAACCTTCGGTAATTTCCGGCAAATTCATATAAGTTCGGAAAGTCTCGGCTTCTTCCTGTAAAAGTGAATAGAACAAGCGATTTAGAGCGGTAACTACCTAAACGATTAACCTGCCGCACCTTGCCCCAGCATTTACTGAGCTTCCATGACAGGCTGGGTGTCTTGTGAGGAGGGAGGGGGAGGGAGGTTGGGTGTGACTATTAAAAGTCCTGAAAGGTCAATAAATCATTCTTGCTTATCAACCATGCATGTAAAAAATGCTTAACACTTTCCCCTTCAAAAAGTAGGTGGTCTCTTTAATGTCCCTTATAGTCATACATGGCTGAGTGGGCTCTTCTGCTCTCAGGACCTCATGGACCCAAAATTAACAGTAACACATTATTACCCAAATTAAACACATTTACATACATATTGTGTGCAGACATTTGCGGAATAATCTGCAGAACATTAACAGAATATTATATGTTACAGATCTCCATGTAAATGTACTGTAATAATATATTACCTGTAATTTTGGGTTCATTCAGATCCTATGAGCAGGTTAGCCCACCGAGCACTGCATAAACAGGTTCATGGATTACAGGATAAAACGTACAAGGAAACGTTAAACTTAACATGTATAGCTTGGAGGAAAGACGAGACGGGGGGATATGATAGAAACATTTAAATACATAAAGGGAATCAACACAGTAAAGGAGGAGACTATATTTAAAAGAAGAAAAGCTACCACAACAAGAAGACATAGTCTTAAATTAGAGGGGCAATGGTTTAAAATATCGGAAAGTATTAATCTACTGAGAGGGTAGTGGATGCATGGAATAGCCTTCCAGCTGAAGTAGTAGATGTTAACACATGTTTAAGCATGCGTGGCATCGGCATAAGACTATCCTAGATATAAGATGGTTGTGGATATAGATACGTGCGGAATATGATTAGAAAAAGAGCATGGCTAATGCATTACCTGTAATTTTGTGTTACTTGCGTCCATTAAGCAGATTAGCCCACCGAGCAATGCATGCACTTTGTGTCTGCACAGAATACATGTATAAATAGATGATATGTGATAATTGTCATGTATTAATGGGAAACAATAGGCTAGAAATGTAAAATTGTATTCCTAGCCTATAGTGCACTCTCGTTCACTCCCACCACGCAGTGCAGAAAGGGTTAAAAACACTTTGTCACTTACCTGATTCCAGCGCCGAGGGACATAAGGCTCCACCTTCAATCCTCCTCCCTTGACGTTACTACACAATGTGCATGCGCAGCGAGTGCAGCAATCGCATTAGGACAACACCATAGTAAAGCATTTCTCAATAACTGCAATAATTACCATTGCAGGGTTAAACTGACTGGGACTGTGCACCCAGACCACTTCAATAAGATGAAGTGGCCTGGGTGTGTATAGTGTCCCTTTAACCCTTTTAGTCCAATGGGGATGGTTTTTCGTGTGGGACTGAAAAGGTCCCTAAACACACCAGTGAAAATCTGATTAACCTTTTCAGCCAGAGAAATGTCATGTTAAGTTTGGGTATGCATTAACCCTTCCAGTCTCATGGGGATGATAAAATGTGGTGATTTCTGTGGGACTGAATGAGTGCCCTGCCTGTGAGCTTACCATACGTTAGATTGTAAGCTCACAGGCAGGGCCCACTACCTTTTGTATTGAAACATAGAAACATAGAATGTGACGGCAGATAAGAACCATTCGGCCCATCTAGTCTGCCCAATTTTCTAAATACTTTCATTAGTCCCCAGTCTTATCTTATAGTTAGGATAGCCTTATGCCTATCCCACGCATGCTTAAACTCCTTTACTGTGTTAACCTCTACCACTTCAGCTGGAAGGCTATTCCATGCATCCACTACCCTCTCAGTAAAGTAATACTTCCTGATATTATTTTTAAACCTTTGTCCCTCTAATTTAAGACTATGTCCTCTTGTTGTGGTAGTTTTTCTTCTTTTAAATATAGTCTCCTCCTTTTACTGTGTTGATTCCCTTTATATATTTAAATGTTTCTATCATATCCCCCCTGTCTCGTCTTTCCTCCAAGCTATACATGTTAAGATCCTTTAACCTTTCCTGGTAAGTTTTATCCCGCAATCCATGAACCAGTTTAGTAGCCCTTCTCTGAACCCTCTCTAAGGTATCAATATCCTTCTGAAAATACGGTCTCCAGTACTGTGTACAATACTCCAAGTGAGGTCTCACCAGTGTTCTGTACAATGGCATGAGCACTTCCTCTTTCTACTGCTAATACCTCTCCCTATACAACCAAGCATTCTGCTAGCATTTCCTGCTGCTCTATTACATTGTCTGCCTACCTTTAAGTCATCAGAAATAATCACCCCTAAATCCCTTTCCTCATATGTTGAGGTTAGGACTCTATCAAATATTCTGTACTTTGTCCTTGGGTTTTTACGTCCAAGATGCATTATCTTGCACTTATCCACATTAAATGTCAGTTGCCACAATTCTGACCATTTTTCTAGTTTACCTAAATCATTTGTCATTTGGGTTATCCCTCCTGGAACATCAACCATGTTACATATCTTAGTATCATCAGCAAAAAGACATACCTTACCATCAAGACCTTCTGCAATATCACTATTAAAAAAATATTGGTCTGTTTATATTGTACACCGCTGTGGCATATGTTGGCACTTTAAAAATGCCAGAAAAAAAATAAAAAATAATAATAATTAAATAAATGCACACAGTGATTAGTGTGTGTGCATATTAACCCTTTCAGTCCCAGTGATGTCATGTGAAGGGGTCCTGGAATACCCCTCTCAGTCTCTTGGGAATGGTAAAATGTGGCGTTTTATGTAGAAATGAAGAGTTAATGAATACACATTATGTAATAAGAATATAGGAAAGGAGGAAATGTTTTATTTGGTAATTACAGAAAAGTAAGCAACAGCAGACTGATAGTTAGTTATATGAGCTTAGAAGAGAATCAGACCTGCTTTTTAGTGATTGTATGGGACTTTAAAGGCTTTGCAGGAGAAAGGGTTAAGTATGGAAGAGAGATAAGCAGGGATACTTTATTGTCCTGCCAGGGCTTTTTATTTACCTTGCAGGACTATAGGCAGCTACACTTAGTTTCCCTCCCTCCTTCCCCTCCCACAGGCTGAGAGCTCCTTCAGAGAGATGTGGTAACATCTTTTCTGGGAATCAACTTTAGAAGGACACCGGTCCCCTCTGTGCAAAGGTAAATAGTCCCACCTGTCCTTACCTTCCCTTCACACCGGGAGAAACTAAAGTAACTTGCAGGGGGTGGGGCAGGCTGCTGCAGGGGCATCTTTCTCTGTGCCTTCTGTGAAGCCCACAGGACTGCCAGTAGTATCTGTTGGCTGATATAAAATGGAGCTGGCTATAAAGTATCCAGGCTCTGGGGATATGGCTATAAAGTATCCAGGCTCTGGGGATATGGCTATAAAGTATCCAGGATCTGGGGACATGGATATAAAGTATCCAGGCTCTGGGGATATGGCTATAAAGTATCCAGGATCTGGGGATATGGCTATAAAGTATCCAGGCTCTGGGGATATGGCTATAAAGTATCCAGGCTCTGGGGATGTGGCTATAAAGTATCCAGGATCTGGGGATGTGGCTATAAAGTATCCAGGCTCTGGGGATATGGCTATAAAGTATCCAGGCTCTGGGGATATGGCTATAAAGTATCCAGGCTCTGGGGATGTGGCTATAAAGTATCCAGGATCTGGGGATGTGGCTATAAAGTATCCAGGCTCTGGGGATGTGGCTATAAAGTATCCAGGATCTGGGGATGTGGCTATAAAGTATCCAGGATCTGGGGACATGGCTATAAAGTATCCAGGATCTGGGGACATGGCTATAAAGTATCCAGGATCATGGCTATAAAGTATCCAGGATCTGGGGATATGGCTATAAAGTATCCAGGATCTGGGGATATGGCTATAAAGTATCCAGGATCTGGGGATATGGCTATAAAGTATCCAGGATCTGGGGATATGGCTATAAAGTATCCAGGCTCTGGGGATATGGCTATAAAGTATCCAGGCTCTGGGGATATGGCTATAAAGTATCCAGGCTCTGGGGATATGGCTATAAAACATCCAGGCTCTGGGGACATGGCTATAAAGTATCCAGGATCTGGGGATATGGCTATAAAGTATCCAGGATCTGGGGATATGGCTATAAAGTATCCAGGATCTGGGGATATGGCTATAAAGTATCCAGGATCTGGGGATATGGCTATAAAGTATCCAGGATCTGGGGATATGGCTATAAAGTATCCAGGATCTGGGGATATGGCTATAAAGTATCCAGGATCTGGGGATATGGCTATAAAGTATCCAGGCTCTGGGGATATGGCTATAAAGTATCCAGGATCTGGGGAAATTTCTATAAAGTAAATGGGCTCTGGGGATATGGCTACCTGCTGGCTCTGAGACTTGTTACCAGCTGTTTGTAGTCAGATGAGTGAGACTTGCTAACTGTCCTGTAAGTGTAAAGTTGCCATAAAGTAACACATTTCTAGGCTCATCTGCCCCAATGAGGGAGTCCTAGTAAATGTATTAATCGTATTGCAGCTTGGCTGGCTGCCTGTGAGTGGAGGAAACTCTGTTGCCCCGGGTTCTGTGGGTGACGCTTTATCACCCCGGGTTCGGGGGAGGGCACTCTGTTCCCCCGGGTTCTAAGAATACTTTGTTGCCCGGGTTCTGAGGGGAGGGCCCTCTGTGCCCCGGGTTCTGGGGGACACATGTTGTTGCCCGCAGGAGGAGGGGGGTGGGACGCTGTTGCCCCGCGTTCTGAGGGGAGGGCCCTCTGTGCCCCGGGTTCTGGGGGGGACACGTTGTTGCCCGGAGGAGGGGGGAGGGATCGCACTCTGTTGCCCTGGGTATGGGTCTTGGCACAGCTCAATTGAAACCGGCTTGCAAGACAAGCCCCAGCCTGTACCTGTTGCTGCTGCCGCCCTGCATCCCAGTGACAGGCAGGTCATTCGGGTAATTCCCTCTTCTATAAAAATAATTGTACTAAACTGGAAACCTAAGTGCATAGCCAAGCCGTGTCTACAACTAAGCTGGATACTTTCTCCCAGTATTGTTCCATAAATTCTGCAATCCGCATTCCAGCTCATTACAATCTGTTTTTGTTTGTTTCATTCTGGATAGAATTTAGAACCGTGGGTGCAAACTGCCATATACTCTGAGATCGACAGAGTACAGACAGGAAGGACAATTTGGTTTCTATTTATAAAGTTAGCTGGAAATCAGAGATGGCCTGCAGGTAGATAGATCCCCAGGGTAGTTCTGCAACACCCACGATGGCGCTGCTTGCAAAGCATCATGGAAGTTGTAGTCCTGCTACACCTGGCCACTCTAACTCTATTATTATTATTATTATTATTATTATTATTATTGCCATTTATATAGCGCCAACAGATTCCGTAGCACTTTACAATATTATGAAAGGGGATTTAACGATAAATGGGAATGTTTGCTAGTTAAGTGTACATAACTTTAGAATGGTCCTAGGGAGCCTGATTTCATTATATTTATATCTGACATGATAGAATACAAGGAATGGATCTCACTGGCTGTCATGTATAGAATACTATACATTGTATCTGGTATTTGGAACAAACCTCCAGCACAGAGCTTGACTGCTACAATACCTGTTTCACAGCCATTTGGTACCTTGTGAGTCTGGGGAAGTTAAGACACCAGGCAAACTATTTTACTTTCTCCTTTTATTTTTTTAGCAAGTAACTTGACTGTACACTTGTCATATTTGACTATACTTTATGTATTAAATAATTTTAACTTGGCATGCTATGCCTTTTATCTGATTGGATTTAAGCAAAGATCTGTGTTTTCTGTCTTATGTAAAGTCTCATGCTTGTTACTTTGCTTGAATTGCCATCAGCTACAGGCTGCTCTCCCCCACTCTGTCTGGGATGGTTTTAATTTGGCTGTGTCTTCTATGTAGTTTATTTTATTATAATTTTTTTTTCTTTCTCATCACTGTTGGCTAGAGCTACATGTGCCTCATTAAATGGCAGACATTTAGGTCTGAGCCAAACTCTGTGTGTTCTGTGTCTTGAGTATTTAGTGATTTGAAGTGTTATGTCTGTAGTGAACCTGAGAGCTTTCGCTTCTGCAGGAAATGCTACGAGAAGCGAACGTCCCCTCAGACTCCCTGGCACCAATCTGCAGAGTGTGTTTCTAAATATGCAGTTTACAGATACCGAGTAAATGGTGATTCAGAATGTTACATTGGGTGCTACTATACAACAACAGAGGTGGCCAGAAGGTAATGGGAGTTGCAGCTCTAAGACTGCCGGGAAGATACTTTCTGGCCATCCCTGATATGACAATAGCTCATTTTTAACCTTTTTGTCATTCTCCTGTAAATGGTGTGATATTTATACAAATGTATTTCTGCCTCTGAGTGTTTGCTAAACATTCTTTTTATATATATTTTTTTTAATTTTTCTTTTCAGATTAAAGTTTGACTGGTGTATGACCTTTCTCATGTGCAGAAAAGATCAATAAGACGTTAAAACAAAAAACCTGTAAAAAGATGGCAAGTGGTGGCTTTAGGTCCCACACTCCATCTACCTCTAACACCACTGACTTTTTGGAGGAATGGAAAGCAAAGAGGGAGAAGATGAGGGCCAAGATGTATGCAGCAGAAGTAGCTGCAGCAGCAGCAGGAGGTGGCGAGATTGTGAATAAGCCTAGCCTTGAGCTCAACAACAACACCAGCACTACAACAGCTAGCAGCATTCAAGCATCCAATTCCACGTCTGTGTTTAAAGCCCCGCCAAACAGGAGAGCGGAGGAAGAACCAGCCACTGCTACTTTGGTGGTACAGCAAAGGAAAGCACCTGTTCCAGATGGTATACCAGCAAGTGCCCCACAAGATGAACCCCCACCGCCGTCTTCTCAGGAGACTCCAACAAAGGTTAAAGACAAGGCAAAAACAAGTGGTCCAAGTGCCAGGAAGGGTAAAGGGCAGATTGAGAAAAGAAAGCTACGGGAAAAAAGAAGATCCACAGGAGTGGTCAATATCCCTTCTCAAGAAGTAAGTACTGGAAGAAATTTAGTCTACATTTTCTGGGGGGAGGCTAAGACAAATCTCGCCAACAGAAAAAAAAAGTGTAAAAACTAAAAGTCAAAGAGTTACTCCAACCACCATGACCACTTCAGTGATTTGAAGTGGTCATGATGCCTGGAGTCTGTATGTCCAGTGTTTCACTGTAAAACATTCCACATGCAGTGTGTAACTCCACCTCTCTCTGTATCATTGCACAGAATGTCAGCTATTGGCTGAGAGCGGTCAGGTGATGCTCCCAGCCAACACATGACGATGCTTATGGCTTCTTCGGGGCCACTGCCATGTCCCTGGACCATCAGTGGACACATAGCAAAATGGCAGGGACCTTGGTATAGGGACATACAATTGCTAATCGGTTTTCTCCAATTACCGAGGAATTGTACCATGGTACTCCGGGCATTATAACCACTACAATGGGCTGTGGTGGTTGTTATAAATGGAGTAAACATTTTAAGTGGATGGCTTGAATGCCAGTGAAACAAGCAAGAAGATTCCATTTGGTTACCATGGTGATTCCTGCACTTTTTGACCTATGTGCCCTAGTTTTCCAATAGGGCTAATTTTATGAATCAGTTCATTTGGTGTGGTTCTTAATCCTAAACTTAAACTGTAACGTCTGAGCAAAGTCCTGCAGAAGGCATCTCTCCTTTTGAAGCTATAATTGTTTTGAGATGTTGCCAAAAATAATCTGGGTTTGTGCTTCCACAGTGACCTTTGTGTTTTTTTTTTTTCTTAACTTCTCTATTAAAGCTCTCTTAAACTATGTTGTTGTGTTTGCCTTAGGCAGGGCCGGCCTTAGGTGTTCAGGCGCCCTGTGCGAAACAATCTTGTGGCGCCCCCCCCCCTCACCTGTCTCTGTTTGGACCCCTTCAAACTATTTTAGGAGCATTCACAATCTGTTGCCTCCACCCCCTTCTACAAACCCACTGCACCTCTTAACCAAAATCCCTGGCCAGATCTTCACCAAGCCCCTGGCCACCACTTCATCAAACTCCTGGCCACCCCTTCCCCTTCATCAATGCCCTGGCCATCCCTTCGTCAAACTCCTAGCCACCCCTTACCCTTCATCAATCCCCTCCAACCCCTTTATCAATTCCTGCCACCCCTTCATCAGTCCCCTGCCCCTCTCATCAATTCCCTCCCACCCTTTACTCAGCCCTCTGCCCCTATTCATCAGCCGCATGACCCCCTAATCAATCCCCTCCCACCCCTTTAACAGCCCTCTGCCCCATTCATCAGTCCCCTGACCCCCTCACCAATCCCCTCCCCCTTTTATCAGCCCCCTGACCCCCTCATCAGTACCCTCCCACCTCTATCACCCACCTGCCCCCTTTAATCAGTCCCATGCCCCCCTTTTCAACCCCCTGCTCCCCTTCATCAGCCCCCTTAATACATCCCATGCCAAATAATCCAACCCCTGGCCACCCCTTCATCAGTCCCCTGCCCCCTCATCAATTCCCTCCCACCTATTTATCAGCCATCTGCCCCCATTTCATCAGCCCCCTGATCTCCTCATCAATCCCCTCCCACTCCTTTATCAACCACCTGCCCCCTTTAATCAGCCCCATGCCCCCCTTTTCAGTTTCCTGCCACCCTTTATCAGCCCCCTTAATAAATCCCCTGCCAATTAATGCAATCCATGCCACCCCTTCATCAACCCTTTGCACCCCTTAATCAGACCCTGCCTCCCTTAATCAAACCCCTGCCCCCCTTAATCATACCCTGTCATCCATGCCCAGTCCCCTGCCCCTCTTAATTAGACCCAGTGTCACCCATAGCCAGTCCCAGTCCCCTGCCCCCCTTAATTAGACCCAGTGTCACCCATAGCCAGTCCCAGACCCAGTGTCACCCATAGCCAGTCCCAGTCCCCTGCCCCCCTTAATTAGACCCAGTGTCACCCATAGCCAGTCCCCTGCCCCCCTTAATTAGACCCATCTGTCCCTGCCCCATATCCAGTCCCAGTCCCCTGCCCCCCTTAATTAGACCCAGTGTCACCCATAGCCAGTCCCAGTCCCCTGCCCCCCTTAATTAGACCCAGTGTCACCCATAGCCAGTCCCAGTCCCCTGCCCCCCTTAATTAGACCCAGTGTCACCCATAGCCAGTCCCAGTCCCCTGCCCCCCTTAATTAGACCCAGTGTCACCCATAGCCAGTCCCCTGCCCCCCTTAATTAGACCCAGTGTCACCCTTATCTAGTCCCCTGCCCCCCTTAATTAGACCCAGTGCCACCCTTATCTAGACCCAGTGCCACCCTTATCTAGTCCACTGCCCCCCTTAATTAGACCCTGCCCCATTTAATGAAAGATGTTTGGCTTAAAAATAAATAAGGTACTTACTTTGAAGGCTGCTGCTCCCTCCCTGTCTGCAGAGCACCGGCCGCCGCCCTCACACATGGAGCGGATCCCTCTGCGGCTCTCTGTGAAGGTGCAGCACTTGGACGTGCCTGCGCCCCAAGCTCCTCCTCCACGCTCCGGAAACTGACCGCGGCTCAGCTCTCACACAATCTCGGGCCGGCCAGTGACAGAGCGACTGCGAGCTGTGTCGGCCGCCCGGCGCCCCTGTTGCCATGGCGCCCTGTGCGGCCGCACAGCTCGCACACCCCAAAGGCCGGCCCTGGCCTTAGGGCACTGACAAGTCGGGATGCCTGAGCTAAAGAATTTGTGGTTCAGTCTGTGTATATAGCTTACAGCAGTTTTATATTTTATAAGATTAAAAAAATAATAATTTCTGCAGGTAATAAAACATTTATTTGATATTATTTTAAGCACCATATTCACTTCACTGATTTAAAGTAGTCATGGTGCTTGGAGTATGTATATGCAGCGTTTCGCTATGAAAAGCAGCACAAGCAGAGTTTATCCCCTTTGCTGTCAAAGGTGTAACTCCACTTCTGGCAGCTTCACTAGGCGTCATTAGCCCAGTTCCACCCTTGTTCTGGTCTGGCTAATGATACCCAATAATGTAGCTAATGTTAATTCTGACTGTATTTGGCATCTGTTGTCAGTAGGCACGGCATGCTGGAGCCAGATGACCAATAGAGCACGTGCACCTTTGGATATGTCCTGCATGTGATGCATGCAGGATTGTGCCTGGCCTACAAAGAACTTCCATTTGTCTTCTGATATATTCAGATCGGGCACTGGCAGGGGTATGTAACCATGCATTTCTAAATAACATCTTTTTATACAGATGCTAATTGTGTAGTTTGCACTGTGTGTGTGTAGATGAGGCGGGGGGAGGGGGAATTAGGAGAATTTCAACAGAGAGCTTTGTCATATTCTTCTCCGCTTCTTATATTTTTACATAAATCTATTGTATCTAATCTTTATCTACAGTGCATTTGTCTTTATTTAGCATTTGTGTAGCCTGTGACCTATAACCCACGTGGTGTAATTGAACTATAATGTTTAGAGACTCTCTGCAACAATGAATCCAAGTTACTACTTGTATCTCACAATATAGATTGTTATTCTTAACAACACTTTTTTTTTTTTTTTTAATTTCTTAATCGAAATGGATACAATATTGATATTTAAAGTAAAACTATAGTATTGGGAATACAAAGCTGTATTCCCTTCCTCGATCCCCTCCCCACCCATTGGCAAATAAAGGGTAGAAACCCCCTTTTTACACTTACGTGATTCCATCGCTAATATCCCTCTGCACTGGGTCGCACTCCGCCGACGTCAGCCGATGAGGGGACCTAACGCGTGTGCGGTGAGTGCCGTTAGCACCTTAAGCCTTCCCTATAGGAAAGCATTGCCTCAATCTCCTATGGGGATAAGATAATTGACGACCTCATGCAAAGCGTCAGGATGTCTGTCGTTTCACATTGTCGTTTCAAACTCCAGGAAGCCCCTCTAATGGCTGTCTGGTAGAGAGCTACTAGAGGCAGTCTTAACCCTGTAATATAAACACTGCAGTTTCTCTAAAACTGCGATATTTTACATTGCAGGGTTAAGGGAACAGGGACAATGAGATGAAGTGTCCTGGGTGCCTAGGGTTACTTTAAATGAATGTAATGTGTATTTTTCATAATATGCTGTTCATTGGCTGCCAACTATAATGTCCTTTCCTTTTCTATCCTTGTTCATAAGACTTCAGCTGCTTGAACATGGTATTAAATATATTACCCAGCTATATACAACCCTTGCTGAAAGGCATAAGCTGTATCTACACCTCCTCTTCAAATTCATCTTTCCAAATACATTTCTTAAATATTCTGCTGGATCTATCTCCTCCTTTATCACTTTGTTTATTTACTTAAGTTATCTGATATAGTAGCCCCAAGGTTTCATTTATTTTCTCTTGGTATCCGTAATGTTCAATTTGAAAGATTTTCTGTCTTTGGGTTTTGTAAGCCAAAGAATTTATTTATTTATTTATTTATTTATTTTGGTATATTGTAATATTTGTTTTGTGCCACGTGGTTTAAACAGGATGCCAGTATACAGATTTGCATCATTTTGTCCGTTTACTTAAACATATATTCCAGCGGTACTTTTCTGCCTTTTTGAAAAGCAGAGATTTCAAATAAAGGAGTTACTGCTGATATGTGACCCCAATTTTAAGTGCAAGACACATTTGATTACATGATGTAACGGTTATAGTTCACTATGACTTATTGCACACAACTAATAATAAGAATTTTAAAACAAACTCAAAGGAGATGCTGCAGTGGGAGATACAGATCTAAATATTTAATAAACTTAGGGCTTAATCTAACTGAAGTTACAAATGCCAACTAATGTTTCATCCAGTACTTAAAAAAACAAAAAAAAAATCCACACACAAACAAAAGCAGGGAAGTTAATGTTTATTCTCTAAAGAATGTGATGACTGGATATATTCATTTTAAAATAGACAAAATATTCAGCCTTTTGATTTTCGCCTAACTTTTGCATGTTTGGTTATCTACCTACCATGAGTGGGGAAAAAATAAATAAAATCCATTGAATTCGTAAATTAAAACTCAAAGGATGTATAGATCTGATGTGTTCTTAAAGAACTAATGTTACCTTGTTAAAGCGGATCTGTCACTTTTGGGGGCCCTAGCATATTTTGCAAAGACATCCAAAACTGTCAGATCCGATGTGGGTCCGGTGACCACGGTGCACAGGGTAGGATAGGAAAGCAGGGGGGGGAACAGAAATATGCTAACTAGGCCTTTTTAAGTGTGTTGTTATACTATGAACTCTTTAGCTTTGCTGCTCTCCAGTGTGGTATTGCATTTAATAAGTGGAAATGAAATGAAAATATCTTCTGGCTCTGTATAGTTTGGTGCTTCAAGGCAAATCACAGTAAAGCCTGGTCTTGCCTTGGAAAGGGGGATGAAATTTAATCTTATATGATATTTGAAGATTACTCTACTCTAAATGTGATTTTATTTTATTTGTGAGTGCAGTCAAAATAAGGCTGGATTCAATGGAATACTGACCGTGTAAAATTTAAAGGAACACTGACCACTAGGAGTGTCCAATGCTGTCTTATCATTCATGGTTAAACAATTTTTCAATGGTTGAAGTTGGTCCCGTGGCCTCCTACTCCTGTGATTCCTCACTTCCTTCTTCTTGGCCACACACCATTGGGAAGATATGCTGAAAGCATCAGCTGATACTGTAAGCCTATCATTGGCTGACATTACACATACTCTAACTATAGCCTGGTTGCCCTCTTGTCCCCATCTACTTAATTGCCCCAATGGGTCAGTCCAGGCCTAAAGCACAATACCACACAGTGCTGGGATGGCAAAGGCCCTATACAATTCCTGCCTATTGTATTAATCGTACTGTACTCTGTCAACATTCAAACACAATTCCAATCACTTTTCATCAGCAGGTGAAGGTAATGTGAGGCTGTAGAATGCAACCAGTGTATGCAAGAGGCTTGGGGGAGCAATGGCCCCACTGCACCCCATGCTAGCCCTCCTATAGATCAGCTAGGTAAAAATGAAGTTTTAACACATATATTCTCCCCTGAGCGCTCTCTGCCCAGCTCCCTCGCGCGCACTGCAGTGATGCCGGAGCCGGAATATGACATCACTCCAGGATCAGTAAGCGGCACGCGAGGGAGCTGAACCTCTTCTCCATATTATGAAACCTTGCTTCTCCTCGATAAAACATCTCATTAAAGGGACACTCCAATGTTCAAATATAAAAACATGCATACATTTAATTATACACTTTTTTCATAAAAAAAAAAAAAAAAGCTTGTAAAAGCTGCAGGTCTCTTTTCTGAAGCCTTTGCAAGCCCTCCCCTACTAACCCCACTCAGACTTTTTAATCAGACATCCCAATGCAGCTCAATGAGAAGTCTTGCCTGACTCTTGTGTTGAGCTCCACTGAGGTAAGCATCCAGGAATTTAAAAGGACTGGCTGTCTTAGTGACAGCCAGGGGTGTTATCAGGTTAATCTGTAAGCAATAATTTCTATTAAAATGTGCACTTTTAGTAAAATCTTCACAAAAAGCATTTCAGCAAACTAGAGTGCCCCCTTAAGGGCCCATGACTGACAATCCAGTTATCTAGTGCACTTTTTTTTTTTTTTTTTTGCAAGACAAGTGGACAAGGTTAAATAGAATCTCTGGCCATGTGTATGACCCATCTTTTTAAATTTTTTTTTTTTTTTTTTATCTCTAGCTATCCGGCAGATTAGATTCCAGCACATACTAATGCAAAACAACAAAAACGTGTCAAGGAGCGTGTTTTAATTTTTGTTCCAAGAATATAATGGTTAAATTATAACTGCAGTGTTCCATTTAAAGTAGAATGTTGCACTAACTTACGTAATTATGGTTCTATCCTTAATGATATTGTGCAGTGAGGCTATCCTCTGGACAGACCTAATAAACAGTGTGACCTTTGTGTCTTGCCTACATCATAGTTTAACAAATGTTTGTAGACTTTAGACACTTTTTTTTTTTTTTTGAGCCAGTAAAGAGTCATATATTTTAAGTTTTATAAATAGTACTTGTGCTTCAAGGTATTTCTGTACATAGGCCTGGCCATGTATGTCATATAAATTATGTTTGAAAGAAGAAAAAAAAAGAAAATGTTACCTTACTACCTGGAACCTAGAAGTACTGGTATTCTAGGCTTCCCTTAGGTGGGAACAATGGGCAGCTACATTGTTCATTCTTTACAATGTGCCTTGCTGTTATTGGAATACTTATGCAATATAATGGAATGTGTGGGGTTTTTTTTTCCCCCCAACTTCTTATTTTTGTTTCTCTAACACTTTTACATTTTGAAAAGTTGCCATCATATCCTGGGGACCACAGATAATCGCTGTTCTACCCAAATTGTAGAGGAAAGTCTCTCCATTCAGTGATGAATGAGAAGTGTCTTTGTTTTAGCTCAGTTTAAAATATATTAAAAGTAAATGAGAAAATACATTTAGGCAATTTTCAACAAAGTGCAACTAGAGTCGACGAACGGCTAAAATTACTTGGTATTGCTTGACTAAAAGCGGCTGCTTTTTCTGTCTTGATATTTATTTATTTTTTTGTTCATTCTTTTTCTTCCCAAATTAGCTTCACTTTGCCCTTTTCCCCATGATCAGATGCTTTATTGTGCAATCCTCTTATAATGAAGGACAGTCTGTGGCAGGCAAAGGAATGCCGTCTAATTGCTGCATCTGAGTGGCTAAGGCTGAATTCGTTCAGCTGGGGCTCTTTTTTTTTTTTTTTTTTTCTCCTCCTGCCTCAATGCTTACTGGAGCATCTGACAAGGCATGTATCTCTAGCAAAACAAGTAATTGTTCATCCAGATGAAACTGCCAACCTTAATCTTTCTGTGGGGGGAAAGTTTGAAGGAGGGGAAGCATCAGAGGCTTATGACTGAGTCATGCAGGCAATCAAGCATTACTTTATCCCCCACCTAACAGTTGGGCAGACATTGCAGTGTCATGTGAACTCTCCATTTGTTGAAACAGACAAAAAGGATATCTCTCGCTCGCGCTCTCTCTCACACTAAAACAAATTAAAATATATATCTACTGACTGCATTTTAAAATAGCAATATCAATTTTTCCTTCTTTAAAAGAGATATATATATATATTTATTTTTATTTAATTTTTTTTATAAAGCAATCTTTGCTGAACTTTCCATAGAATATCTTCATTGGCCTATATTGTCATCACTGAGTATCTCAAGCAACGTGTTTTTTTGCTTTCTTGTCAGTCCTATATACTCTCATTAGGCTTGTACTGCTGGTACTGATCCAACAGTTGAGTCCTGTGACCATTCCTATTATACGTGCAACACAATTGTCTAAGCACGTTGGGCCGTTCTTTCCCTCAGGCAGTCCTGTGTAGATTAAACATTTTTGTCACGCTTGGACACCAAGCAAAGTGAAAGTTACAACGATCTTTGTTAATGTGAATGCTGAAGGTTTTCCTCATATGCTGTAATGTAACAATCCTGAGTTTTTTAAATACCACTTCTGTAATATGTGTAAAAATTTTTTTAATTTTTTTTATCTGTATGCAAACTTAACTTTATGTTTAAGGATTGGCGTTGGTGTTTGGGTGAGAAATAGTGTTAAAAGGAAGAAATATAAACTTTTTGTAGCCAATTCATGTTTATGATCCTTAAATTAATAAAAGGTTTTTCTATCCATGGCCTTTAAGGGCTAAGAACTGAATGTAAAGGGTAGTTTATTTCTACGCTATAGACTGTAAGCTCGTTTGAGCACATTTTTGTAATTGTCTCATTTATTGTTAAATCTCCCCCTTTGATAATATTGTAAAGCGGTACAGAATATGCTGGTGCTATATAAATACCAGTAATAATAATTATCTGGCACGGGGACGAGGCCACAGTGGATGATTTTGTTTGTCAATAACATATGAGGACTGAGGAGTAGATATCTCTAGCCATTGGCAAGTAACAATTTGGTGAATGTACCATGGACCCTCCAGGCTTGCAGTGGTGAGTAACAGTTAAAGGACCACTATAGTGCCAGGAAAACATACTCGTTTTCCTGGCACTATAGTGCCCTGAGGGTGCCCCCACCCTCAGGGACCCCCTCCCGCCCGGCTCTGGAAAGGGGAAAGGGTTAAAAACTTACCTTTTTCCAGCGCTGGGCAGGGAGCTCTCTCCTCCTCCCTCCTCCTCCTGGGCTGAATGCGCACGCGCGGCAAGAGCTGCGCGCGCATTCAGCCCGTCGCATAGGAAAGCATTTACAATGCTTTCCTATGGACGCTTGCGTGCTCTCACTGTGAAAATCACAGTGAGAAGCACGCAAGCGCCTCTAGTGGCTGTCAATGAGACAGCCACTAGAGGATTAGGGGAAGGCTTAACCCATTGATAAACATAGCAGTTTCTCTGAAACTGCTATGTTTATAAAAAAATGGGTTAACCCTAGAAGGACCTGGCACCCAGACCACTTCATTAAGCTGAAGTGGTCTGGGTGCCTAGAGTGGTCCTTTAAGGTAATGTTTTCACTCCAGGCTGGGAATGATTTTGTTCTTGTGTGATGCATTAATATAGACAACAACTTAGGTGAAAATATCTAGGGTTTGCAGATTCTGCAGTGAGCTCTGGCCTAACCATTAAGTGAAAATCAAGATCCTGTAACTTTCTTTGTCCATGCTGAACTTATCCTGTTGATTAACAGCACTGAGTGCAGCAGGGGCTTCTGGACGTTGTAGTTCATTTGAAAGAATTCTCTTGTAGAATGCTGACAGCTGACCTACAACTCACCGGAACCTTGCTGTGCAACCTCTTGAGATGTGAAGGAAGAAACATGGCTTCCTACCGCTCAATATTTCAGTGAGTGAACAAGTGGGCTTGTAGATGCGTTACTTACCTCTAATCCAGGGATAGGAAACCTTTGGCACTCCAGATGTTGTGCACTACATGCTTTAGGAGAATTCCTATAAAGGTCATGCGCCATGTATAGTTTTTTTTGCTTGTTTTTACACAGTATCCTTGACCTGATATTTTGTGTGTAATACATACAGAAACATCAACTACGCTGTCAAGGAGTGTGCCCTGTAATCCATAATTAAGGTGGATGTTCAGTAAATACCACACCCATCCACAGTCATGCACTGTTATATTTAAAAGTGATAAGGTGTACACAAGTCAAATAATATTTTTTAAAATAACTTCCTTAACCCTCCATTTGCAAACAATCTACTTTTTTTTTTTTCTTCTTCTAATAAAATATATGTAATAGGTTAATCAGCGTGCTTTGGTTTATGTGACGTATACATTTAATGATATTACAGGTGATATATCAAGAATATTTGTATTTGAATAATTTGTGTTATTCTAGGTATATTGTTCTATTAATCAAATAATGTTTATTTTGCATTTACAAGTTGTTCTAGACACCAAACATTTATGTCTTCAGAGAAATATATTTGTAATGTGAAGCCATGTCATATTTTCGTTTATTTTGGCTGTAGCCATGGATTCTTTGTCACTGTTGCATAATAGGTGGCATGGATTAGTCACACAAAGATAAACAAATGTAACGAGTGATGTCAGACACTTACACCTCACATTCGTTGTATTGTTACAGAAAGCTTTTATTAATCAAAGTCTTATAACAAACCTTAATAAACTGTATTGGCAATGCCAGGATAACAGCTCTGAGCTTGCTGATGGTGTTGTTTGACTGTTTTAAAGGGGCTCTGTTGTTAGAAACTGTTTGTGACCAATACATTTAAAAAGACTGCTAATTGTATTTATAATTTAGCAAATGTTATTTTAGTTAGTGTGCCCTATCAATACACTTATGATTCCTCTCCAATTGCCAAGCTACACTGCACAAACACTCTACCCACCAAAAAAAAACATTTAAAAAAAAAAAAACAATCCCCGGAAATCCAATATGAGCAATTGTAGGAGCTGTATTACATCATCAAGCTGTGAATTGCTGTGGATTGTATCGTGGTGGTCCTGAAAGCAGGGGGTACTGCTTCACGTTGTTTTGTGTTTTAGATTCCCATCATCAAGAATTTCTAGGTCAACTATCAAATGATGCATTTGTTGCACTAAACATAGCTATGAAAGTGGGGGGGATGTTGTCAAAATATACTTATTTAAATGTAATTGTTGTACACACATTCAGTGCTTGCATCTGGGTAAGTTATAAACCTTAAACAGCAATTACTTATGAGTCATCATTATGAGTCACCTGTGCTTTATATTTTGCAAATAGTTTTTGGAATGTAAAAATTAAAATACAAACATCAATTGACTGAATATCATGTGTTTTAAGATAACGCCCCATTTCTGTCCTAACTCTTGAAATGATTGTTACTGGGGTTCTGTTCTTACTCTTTGCATGAGACCGAAAGATTGTCCCTCTCTTTTCCCTAGACTGGGACCTGTTGTTATTTAGATACACAGAGCTGACAGAGATCTCGAAAGATGCATACTGTATGGGTTACAGCAAGGATTTAAAAGGACTCTGCATAATTTAATGGTTATGGAAGAAATCTAGAAAGACTCTGCATGCTGTAGGGGCTATGGCAGGGATCTAGAAGGGCAGTACATATTGTAGCGGTTATGGCAGGGAGAGTTATGGCTAGAAGGACTGCATCCTGTAGGGGTTACGGCAGAGATCTGGAAAGACCCTGCATCCTGTAAGGCCTACGGCAGGGATCTAGAAAGATCCTGCATACTGTAGCAGTTACGGCAGGGATCTAGAAAGATCCTGCATACTGTAGCAGTTACGGCAGGGATCTAGAAAGATCCTGCATACTGTAGCAGTTACGGCAGGGATCTAGAAGAACTCTGCATATTGTAGGATTGCAGATTTCAGTCAGATCTAATAAACTTGCTAGTTATCTGCAACGTTGCTTATTGTTTGTGGATATTGTGCCCATATATAGACATTTATTTTTTACGTTCTGGTGGTGAGTTGAGAATCTCCATTCAGAAAAATACTAGCAGGTGCCGCATAAGCAGGATTATTTTTCTTTGTAAAACCTAAAACACACAATAGTGAAGGGAATAACAAAACTTAAGAATCAGCCCTTGCAGTATGCTATTAGTTTTCTCATAGAAATAGCTTTATTTGAAACAACGTAAATTATAATATACAAGTGTCACTTCAGTAATTTGGTAGCAAATATGAAGAGTCTTGCAGAGGGTTACTAGATCCACTATTCCCACTACCCCCCAGGGAAACACATAATTATGTTATATATGATCTGTGTCCCAGAAAACCTGGTGGACCCTAGTCTTACAAAAGTATTCTAGAATTAGGTATTTTAATATATTGCCTTGGACACCATAGAATACTCAGAATCTAGGTTTTTTTTTTTTTTTTTTAGTCTAGGGTGTCACAAACCTCAGGATCATTCTAAGGGTGACATCTACAGATATTACACCTGATACCTAATAATTTATGGCTTTACATAGAATTCTATGTGTCCAAACCCACTGTGGTTTCATTTCCGCTATTTTTACTTAAAATGTAATAGTCCTTTTTGAATTTGTAACAAATCACCCTTCCGTGAAAAACCTTTTGTCAACCCCAGCTTTATGTTTGAGTTGCAACATGATCCATCATGTATAATACGTGTTTGGCAGAACTCTACACTATGAGGAACCTTTACAAATGTATAAAGTTGAATAGAATGAATCAACAAGTTACCCTAGCTCTTTGCGTGACTCTGTGAACTAACTGAAGTTCTGACACCCTTAAGGTTTGCTGTGCTCGATACTCTGATGTAAACATCGTTGAATAACCTATCTTTGAATCCTGTTCAAGTTATTCCAGCAAGCATAACTAATATAATAATATTCACTTTCCACAAACCCCAGAAGCACAGGCATCTCGCTTTCTTCAGTGGCCTGTGACTTTTTTGACCTGTAGCAAAATAAGTTTAGACTTCGTTTAGCCAAAGGGAATGAGTCATATTGGCTTCTATTGTGAATTAACTGTTCTACCAGATAAGAAGAGGTGTTTGTCGAGCATGACTGAACATTCATTTTGAATGCTAGACTTTGGGAAAACAGGCACATTTCTGAAGACATGTCTCGGTTCTCCCTGTGATTTCTTTCCCTTATTTATACTGCCGACCTCTGACAGTCCCTTTTTTTTTTTTTTGCCTTTTGTTAGATTGTGTATTCACATTTATTGTTCATGCATTCAGCAAGCGAGCCTATAGCTATACATTGGAGTTTAAAACATAAGCTGACCTTGCAAACTCTGGATAGCCAACAAGATGGGGTCTGGATGAATAACCTTACGTTTTTAATGTTTTCTGAATACATTTTCCCCATAGTGTCAAGGATATAAACTTTCAAGAAGCTTAGTTCTCTAGATTTCAATAGCATTTGACAATGCTCTGCAAACATTTACAATATTTAATGTGAAGCACTAGGGTGTAGAAACTCAATTTATGTTTTTGCTGAATTACCAAATACCCTTACTGTGGCCTTTATTTTAATATCATATAAGGTTTTTTTCAAATTATTTAATATTTTTAGATTTAAAAAAATTTATCATTTCCCCCCCACCATCCAAAATATATTGATAACATATATCAAATATTTAAAATATTAAATAGTTTAAAAAGTCTATCCAAAATATTAAATTTATTTGAAAAGCTTATTCAAAAATATATCCAGGCCACTGTTATTTTTGCCTATGTTTTGAAACTTTTGAAAGCCATCTACAAGCCGTTTTGTGAAGAATTTCCTTGACACGAATTATATTGATTTTTTAAAAGTTTGTTTTATTTATTTTTGTAATGTAAACATTGAAACAACATGAAAAAAGACAACCTTGGTAACTCCTTATGGGAATAATAAACCTTGTTTTGGGTAAATCTGCAATACATGGCCTTCCCTAGCTGGACGAGAAATGCACTATATATAATAATTTAAATTTCTACCTACTGTAGTGTCTGTGTGGTGGTTTAGGTCCCCTGCCCAATTTTCCCACACCACACTGGCCTTGCCCGCCTCCATGGCTGAGATCCGTTTTGATGATCTCAGCCAATCAAATGCTTTTCCTATTGTGGCAAAACCCACTACTGTGCCATTAAGAATCTCCCCCTAGAGATGAATTGAATCAATACAACTCTGTGGGGAGCATTCACATTGTGCAGCACTCGACTAAGAGGCCTTTCTAGTGGCCGTCTGAGTGACTGCCACTAGAGGTGCTTCTAGGCAGTAATGTAAACATTGCCTTTTCCCTGAAAATAATCCATTACATTGAAAAGCCTGAAGGGACAGGCTATAGACACCAAAACTACTACTTAAAGCTGTAGTGACTATAGTCCCTTTAACCCATACTTCACTTCTAATCATATGCCACAGTGGTTTATTGTACTCCAGTTAGCCACTAGTACAGTGATGGAATCCACTTCCCCTTCCCCCACCACTATAAAAAAAACCTTTAAAATCATATCTTCACCTGTCTACCAGTTAATGACAGGTAAATATGCTGTCAAAATTATTTTATAACAAGCACACTAAAAATAAACTTTCTGGTTCCATTATTTGTTAATTTTATACATCCTAGCATGTCCAGTGAGTGCTTACCCTGTTTAGGACTCATGCGGATTAGACGATGGGGAAATGGTTATATTCATTTATTTGACTTTTTAACTTTTGCATATTATTCTTTTCTTACTACATGACTTCCACCAGCCCTGGCCAGTTCACATTAGGAATTTGAATATATTAAAATTTGAAAAGACCACATTTCTGACGATGTTTTGTTCAAGTTTATAAAAAAAAAAATGAGGATGGAGAAGTTTGTTCATACAGAACCCTGTAGTCATGTTATGTTTTTTTTTTAATGTTTTTTTTTAAATTTTTTTATTTAACAAAGCCGTGTGCAAGCTTTGTGCGATGTGGTTGCTGAGCAGACGGGATGGTGCTCTGTATATAGTGACCTTTTAATGGAATTGTAATGCCTTGCATTCCTGGGCCCACACCTGTGTTTGTCTAGCCTGTTCATAAACATTGCATGGAAGTGTTTGGTTTCTCATCACAACTAGAAAAAAAATCCCTTTTTTAATTAATTTAATTTTTTTTTTTTTTTTAGTCAGAGGCAAAACATTCCTCTGCAGCACCAGAACTGCCATTTCGTATTATCTACTCCTGTAATAACTAGCTTGTTACATTGGAGATAAAGTTTCATTAACTCATTCCTTGTTTACAGTTGGCAACATTGTGTTAGTCCATGGAGTGATAATTTTAAAGCGGGACTCTTAACACCTTATTATTCATATCTGCTTCCAATAAAATAGATCTTTTTGTATATATTTTTTATAGCAATTTATAGAAAGTATTACTAATAAGCCTCCGTGCTGTACAATTTCTTTCATGTAGGACTGTGGTTTTTTTTTTTTGTTTGTTTTTTTCATAAAGAAAAGCTGTTGCTGGGTCGACCTAAGCCGTTTTATATACTTGTATGCACAAGTCTTGTTTTGATTATTCTAGTGTTTTCTAAATAACTTATTTTCCTGATGTGAAGCAGCAGTTTCAACAAATGGGTAACTGCCCTCCTCATGTCCCCAACAGGTCACTTATGCCTCGTTTCCACTGAACGGATCAGCTCGGGTCGGTACAGTTTGGAAGGTTTAGAATGGTCCAGCCTATTCTGGTGAGCGTTTCCACTGCAAGTCAGACCTTCAGGGGCCATGCAAGGTTTAGAAAAAATGCTCTTCCCGTCCACCAAACAATGGATTGTATAGTAGCTGTGCCCTAACCGAACCGTACCATTTCCTATGGCCCTACATCTGAAGAAGGACCCTGAATGGTGCGCTACGGTTTGGTTGTATGGGCCACTTTCATAATGGAAACACTCAAAATAGTGAACCGTACCGATCCGCTCAGTGGAAACAAGGCATAAGAAAACCTTATTAAAAGCTAGCCCCTTCCTTTTTCTTTCCCATTGTCTTGTGTATGGTACAACGAGACCCCAAACCCCCCAGTATCTGTCTGTCTTCCAACAGGCTTGGTTTGTCATTTTTAAGTCCATTCTTCAGACTTTCATGTTGTTGGGCTTACACTGGCATCTGTGTCCGCAAGGTAGAGTGTGGCTCAAAGATTTGATCTGCTCAGCAGTAGAATGACCATGCATGGTGTACAGACAATAAACAGTATTTAAAAAAAAAAACAACTCAAAAACATGGAATCTCCTTGAATTTCATGTTGGCAAAAAGCTTTATAAATATAACACGTACAACCACGGCAAGTTTGTATCAAAGCGTGAGAATTAATTTTTTTTTTTATACCTTACTCAGGCTCTATATCGCTGCACCCACGACTGATTCCGGGCAATGTCTTATAGATTCTACTAATATCAATAACTCATTTTCCACCTTGTGTATTATAAGTTTAACTCATCGAGGGCCAGATTTAAATTTTTCATTGAAATGACTTGAACATTAAACTTCTTGCACTTAAACAATGAAAGGAATGATACGGTGTTCTGAGAGTGCTTTCTCTTTACTACCAGGTCTATTGTTTGCCTCTGTCATCTTAGGTTTAGAGAATAATGCAAAATACACAGGTTCCCATCCATTAGCCTCTATTATTCATGGTTAGGTTAGATCGCTCTGCTCATGAATAATAAACTTGCCTCCATTCTTGTAGTGATACTAGCTATCCATGTTACATTAGTTTCGCTGTGTGTTGGGATGTATATCTTCTAGCACTTTAAAAAAAAAATTTTTTTTAACTGATTCTTGTGAAACTTCAACATGCTCAGTGATCAATGTATTAATGTTCCTTTTTTATATTTCTGCTTTTACTGCAGTTATCGCAAAACATAGGTATTTTGCTTTTACTTTTCTCCTCATGCACATTTTTCACATTTTATTTTGTATTCAGCACTTGTGTTTTTTCTTTTACTGGAATGCATTTTAGATATGGGCCAATACCTTCTATCACAATATGGAATGTTACTTGTTTGTCTTTTATAGTTTATGCTTTATTGCTTTCTTTTTCCCATTTAACTCTTTTTGTAGTTTAGAACGTTTCTCCATTTAATATTCAATTTTTCACCTTTATTCCTCATATTAAGCCATTTTTATAAATGGTTTTTATTATTATTATTATTTATTTATTTTTTTTGTCGCTTCAACTGAGGATTTCACGCTCACTGTCCTCCAAATGTTTTTCCATCTCCACTAAAATTATGTATTTATGTATTTTATTTTATATTGTGAATTAAATTAAAACTTTTGATCTCCTACTTACATTTAAAGGTGGGGATGCAACAATGAGTGGTATCATAGGGGAAAGCTTTAAACCTGTTGTAGCCAGCAGAAAGTCTTGCCAACTCATGCAGGTGTTATTATCCATCTATAATTATTGCTCTTGTAACATTAGATGTGAATGCAAGAAAGAGAACATTGCATGGCATTGTAGAAACAGATTCCATCGAGCGAACACTACTCTCAAATATCTGAACTATATGAAGCTGTACCATTGGGCCTATTGCTTGTTTGTGTGCACTTACAGCTCTCTCAGCAATACAGTGTGTTTTAAAGTGACATGGTAATCACTATCAAGAGGAGTAATCCGCTTAAAAAAAAATAAAATAGTGTATTTTCGAATTGGAATTATGTTTGTAAAACCTTAGTTCGAAATTTCTGAGAACAGGTGTGTAACCGAATATACTTAAATTGGAGAGTAACTATTAATTAAAAAAAAAAAAAGTTTATGTCCAAGAAAAAAAAAAAATACAGCTGCTGATACAAAATATTTAATATTTTCTACTTGAAATTGTAGTATATTGCAACGCATTCAGTATAAAATAAGTTAATCGTTGCCCTGTCTATTTAACCACAGACAGATTAAAAGTTACGGCTTTTAAATTTCCCTTGCATTGTTGAAAATCACAGCTTTACCAGAAGTCCAAAAAAGCCTGAGCTTATTTGAACAGCCAAGAACCACTTATAGCTCTAATTTGAAGAGGTAAGGCAGTTTTTTTTCTTTTTAATATATTTACTAAACAATATATGGAGAGCTAAAGGGAGCATGCTAAGTGAATATTTTGGTTGTTTTTAGTGTGTCAAGTGCCAAACGTTAAGGGTCAGTCTACAACAGGACTGACCACACTTGATCTAGGGTATTTTTACCAATATGTACTCTTAGCTTATGTTACACCTCAAGACCTCAAACAGTCCCACTTGGGACTGTTCTTGGCTGCACAGTGCGAGAACATCATTAGATGTGCTTGTGGTGTACAGCCGGCACTAGGTACTAAAGTCCTGGGGGTAGCGGCCAAAATGCTTGTCAGCAGATAGGCCCGCACCTTATGGATGTTGTTGGTAATGAGGTTGCATCACTGTTGACATTAGTGACACTCGCCCATCTAGTCCCGGTTATACAGGCTCCAAAGTTGGGTAATGTACACCTCCCCAATAAGAAGCTTGGGGCCACTTGGAATTTCGTTGGATCTTCTTTTGTAAACAATACATGCAAAGTATTTTCCAAGTGTATTAATGGCTTTTGACTGTTGAGGTGTACCTTTACATTCTCTCTGCAAAACAAGCAACCCACAGGCCCAATTAGTATATACAGCCAGGCCTTGAATCACATGCTTTACCACACCCACCACATTCCATTTAGCCACAGAACAAAAGCCTTAAACGCACTGATAACTTTGCCATAAGAGATTTGTGGAAACAAGATTAGATATTGAATTCACAGGTGTGCAAGTCACATTTGTGCAATTCATTGTGACTGTCATTTTATACATTTTATCTATAAACTGTCTTTGCATTCCTGTCATACCTCGTGGTGTAGCTGTATTCAATACGTTGTAGTGTTGGTGTATTTGAAAAATGTAAGGTTCTATGATATACATTCTTCAATATATATATATGGTATATGTTATGGTGTGCATCTGGAATATCTTCAGTAATATTGCAACCTAGGCAACTCATTCTTTTTACATTTTGCTGTTAAATTGAGCGGTACACTAAACCAATCTCTGTTGCAAAGTAGGTGACAATGTGAAACTTAAAGGAACATTCCACAGTGCTAATGAAAAAAGAAACAATCACTGTTTACTAAATAATATACACCCCTATGAAGACATATTGTGTGTATATCTTAAAATAACTGTTTGACAGCCAGGGAGGTGTTTCAATATTTAATGATAAAAGTGACAATTTTCTTTTAGAGGTCTGCACTTTTATAAAGTGCCCTTTAAAAGGGTACTCCTCACCCATAAAGCATTTTGGCAATCTGCAGTGCTTTTTATGAGTGTGGAGTGGTTCTTTAAGGCTGTTCAGAACATAGTACAAGGGCTGATTGCCTATTGGTTACTTAAAGGGACACTCCGGACCACTAAAGTACTTCAGCTTGTTTGAAGTGCTTTATTTGTGAAGTGTGTCTTCTTTTTTTTAATTTCACAAAAAGTGAACATTTCAGTAGAAAATTGCACTTTTTAAAAAAAATTAACCTTGTTACATCCTCCTGGCTCTCACTCGGACAACAGGTAATGTTACTTCCTGGTTTGACTAGATCAGTGGAGCTAAACTCAAGAGGCAGCAATTGCACAGAGCTCCTGCCTTGCAAACACTTCTCATTGAGGCGCATTGAGAAGTCTGTGATTGGACAGAAACAGAAAGTTTGGGCTGGGGAAGAAGGGGAGGGCTTGCAAAGGCTGCAGACCAGAAAACTTCTATTGTAAGCTGACTGCAAACTGCTTCATTAAATGCATACATGTTTTAATTTGAGATATATCTACTAAACAAGTATTTTATTTAGGCAGTGGAGTGCCCCTCTAAATGTCAAATACTGTGCATTTTCAGTTGTGAACACAGATGAGACAGATTGTGTCTGCAGTTTGTACTGTGTGTTATACCAGAAACAATGATAAGTTTTTTGATTTTTAATGCATTTTATTGTTTGTGGCCTAAACCAGGGGTAGGCATCCTTTCACACTATAGAAGTTGTGGACTACATATCCTCTGATACTTTGCCAGCATACGGTAGGAGCATTATGAGAGATGTAGTCCACAATATTTTGAGTACCGAGGGTTTCATACCCTTGGGTGAACAATTAGCCGTAATATTGCCACATATTGCATCCTACACCTCCCTCGTTTTTTGCTTGTTACTATACTGGGTATATAATGTCACAGTTCCATTTCTTTTTTCTCCTTCATAAAGTGTTTCTCCTATAAAACGCTTGTTCATGTTAGCAGCAAGGACAATGAAGGTTTCATATGTGTAAAACTATTAACTAAACTACAAACTCCAGAAATCTGTCTGGCAAGGTTTTAGGCAACAAAGTCAGCACGTTAAAATGTTCCATAGAAAAGGTATTGGAGCTTCCTGGGTTTAATAACTGCTTGGAATGTAAAAAATTTTTTTATTGTAAATAAATAAATAATCATTTTGTGGGCTTTTTTTCTTTATATTTGATTCCCTGTTGTTTTAAAAGCATTATCTATATAATGTATTCAACAGAATGGTTCACCTGCCTTTTTAATACCAGCACTGCTACAGCAAACACGAAATCCAGATGACAAGAACCTCTTCTTTTCTGCTACATTTACACCTTCAGAAGGCATGTAATGTATCTTAGGAATAAGGCACTATATTGTTCACCAGCATTTACCAGTGATCAGCAATGCCCATTTTGCCTCCCTTGTTCAAGGTACACTTGAGCAAAATAGAGCTAGTTAGAGGTAACTGTCAAGGATTACAATAACATTTATAATCAAAATGTCAACACACCGTCCTCAAAGCATTGGATGTTCTAGAAGAATAGAAATGACTAGTGTTTCTGTCATTGAAACTTCAACATTGTTGCATTACCTGTAGCTTGCTTTTCCTCTTGCTTTTTTTTGGGGGTGGGGGGGAGGAGGGTAAATGGCATGATTATTAATATATTTTTTATAGTACCAAAATATCCTGCATTGCCTTTGAATTCTGGAAAGGGGAAATGTGAGTTAAAGAAACCTGCTCAAACAAGCTTACAATCTGTGAGGTGATGCCAGGAAAAATATCTTTTAGCATTTTTTTTTTTTTTTTCACAACCACCAAAGTCCCCAAGGCCACTTCATCTCGGAAGAGTTCTGGTTACAGTGGTCCTGTCACTTTAACACTACAAAGTTAAATTCTCATGTAGTGGCTGTCATACTGACCGCAGCTATAACAGCATCTGCAGCACCAACAGAATAAAACTCCAATCAAGTGACGCAACAACCACAATAGGAAAATCTGCTTGCTTGTGAAAGCTTAAATAAGGTCACGGTGCTCGCCTTGCATGCACATCCGGTCCCCAATGCTCCTCCATTAGGAGCATTGGTTTGGACATCGTCGGAGGAGGCCATGCCTTCTCCGAGACTTAGCGGAAGGAGGAAAGCGGAGAGTTACACGAAATCATTAATTTTATTTTATGAGGCAAACAGGAAGGGGAAGGGGGAGCGGGTTGGGGGTCCTATCTTTTAAGGACCGGTACATCTCAGCATTAGGGTTTGAATTCCCAATATTTGTGTTCTTTTAATAACTCATGATCTATAGCATTCATTATGCAAAACTATGCAGTTTAATTATTTTATAAAAAAAAATTTTCTCCTACATTTTTGTGACTTATTTTCTTTAATTGCAAATGGCTAATAACTGTATTGAGACAATGGGAACCCATTTCCTAGGTGAATAAGCAGAATATTAAGCCCTATAGTAAAAAATTAAATTGCTATGTCAGCCTAACACCGTAATCTACAGTTTGTTTACTCAGATTCCTATATGCTTACGAGAACCAAAGCAAATGCCATGCTGCAGTCACAAGTTTCCATTTGGCTGCTCCTTTCAGTTCTGCCATAATTCTTTGTAAATACCTGATAAAGATCTAAAGCCATTCAGCTGATCTTCATGCGCACAGACGGCAAATTATTGATTAGATCTACTTATTTTGGCTTCAATGCAAAAACTGTATTAGAATTGGTGTCCAAAAGACTATGGACATGAGCCCCAGTGTACGTTTTATGGCCCCTTCCGTGCTACAGTTTTTAAAACTGTACCCCTTGTAATGTTTAGAGAGAAATGTCAACTAGAATTGCTGATTTAAATAAATTTTGGGCTAATAAGTCCTGAAATCAGATTTGAGGATTTTTAGGAGTTGACTCAGGGCCCCGGTTGTTCAGAACTGAATCTTTGCAAAATGTAACCATTTGCCACTGTATAGTGTAGAACAGAATTGTCTAATCTCTTCATTAATAACCAATTTGGATTAACCCCATATCATAAAGGGAATAAAATGTAAGTTTTCAATTTTCTTAAACCAACAATGTAACTGGGACAAATTGTGCCTTATTCTAGAACAGGCATTGGCAGCCTTCGGCACTCCAAATGTTTTGGACTACACTTCCCATGATGCTTTGCCAGCATTATGGGTGTTAGAGCATTATGTGGGATGTAGTCCACAACATCTGGAGTGCCGAAGGTTGCCTATCCCTGTTCTAGAACTATGTACATCTATAATGGCTCCACCTGCTGCCCAGCCTCACAAACAAAATTCTAATGCTGATTTTACTGTGTAAATAGTTTTTCAGTGGGAATACTGCCACTCCAACACCCATTTTCGATTACCTATTGATTGAGCTATATTGTTCAGCTTTTTTTTTTTTTTTTTGTTGAGGTTATAAATAGTTAATGGTTTACAATTGTAAATTAGTTTCTGTAATGAGCTACATATACATATTCCCTGGATATTTATTTATGTTTGCATGGTTTTCCTAGCTCATTTTCCTAGGCGGTTATCAGATCTGTCTTTATTTAACATGTACCACAAATATCTCTGGATAGCAGGATTCAAATCAATGAAGGTTTTTAAACGTTATTGGTGGGAAAAAACAAACAAACTCTGATCAGACAAACGGTCAGAACCAGAGAGTTATAGGGTCAAACAGTAATTCTTCATATAACTATATAACACCTGTAACAGCTCCACCTACTGCCCACCCGACACACTCATTACTATGATGACTACTTTTCCTGCTCAGTCAATTTAATTCACTGTATTCCATGAAGAATGAAACTAGTGACAAGGTAATTGAATTCCATACACTGTTTATTTTAATGTCTGCTTAATTAAAAAGCAAGCATATTTCAGAATTTGAAGCCACTTACAGGAACACTACAGTGTTAGAATAGAAAACTGTATTCCTAACGCTACAGTGTCCCTCTGCAAAGCTCGCGCCCTCCCCCCCCCAACTCAAGGCACTTAAATGGTTAAACAGAATGTTCCCTGAACACTCCGAACTGTGTTGGAGATGTGGACGAGCAATTGGAGACACCCTGCACATTTGGTTGTCTTGCCCGACAATAGCAACATACTGGCAGAGGATCCATAGCCTGATCAAGGAAATAATCGACTCTGACATAGAGCTGCAACCACTACCGATGCTGCTCCACCATACAAAGCTCCCTGCACCCACCTATAAAAAGAAAAGCGTACCAAGACACCTCTTAAATGCTGCTAAAGTACTCATACCCGCAAAATGGGGAAAACCGGAAGCACCAACGGTCAAGGAATGGATGGAGCAGGAATCTCTAGCAGAGAGGGTGGCTTGCAGCAGTCTACACGCTACAACTCTGCTTCCCAACCACTCTGAATCCTCCCTAATAATCCTTAAATGCAGTGACACACGCCCATACTGCATAATCCACGCCGCTGCATAGTCATTGTGTGCCACAGCAGACGTGGCCGACTGAAGCTACTGGTCAGCCGATCCACACTCCCTAATATTATATTAACTCTGCATCCCGATTGAGAAAGCCACTTGGCGAAACGCGTCTCGGTGAAAGGAGGACTAAACAGGACTTTATATACTGTTTATGGTATTATTGATACTTATATTTTTTGCATTTTTTATTTTGTACCAATAATTCTTTCTACTCCTGCTGCACAAGAAGGGTTGTGTTCCCCTTAAAGACACGCCATAATACCAGGAGCCTAGTATAACTGGCTCCCCAAAAGGTGAGCAGCTACTTGCATTTACGCTTTGGCTATCTACTGCACTTTACAATCTGTACAAGGATATTTTGTTACTTTTTGGCTCCATATTGAGGATCATTGAGCCAAGAATCCGGAGAAGGGTTTGGTATTACCTAATATACCTCCGCCTATGAGATCCCCTTATTCCAACACCGTGGAAATCCGGCGTTCACTCCGACTACGCCACCTCCTCCTTAATAGCAAGAGGAAGCATGCATATGCAAAGCGTCCTTTCAACGTCCAGCATCCTTTCACTAAGTTAAACTCCCGTGTAAATGCAGGAAGTGCCTCTAGTGGCTGTCTGGGAGTCTGTCAATAAAGGCAGCCTTAACACTGCAATGAAAACATTGAGGTTCCTCTAAAAATGCACCAGACCCAGACCCATACAATGAGATGAAGTGGTCTGTGTGCCTGTACTGTCCTTTTAATGATTAGAAATCATAAGTAGCATTCATTGGACATAATTCTTTATTAGAGTGGTTATCTTTATTTTGATACAGATCTGTTACAATTCTAAGTGTAAAAAATAAAAAAAGCTATATAATGTCAACAATACTCCAAGTAGGTTTGTCAAATAATTATATCCGTACATATGTAGCTTTCGTTAACAGTTTAGTCAGAATCTTTTGAAAAGGAGGTAGAAAAACCGTGGAAACAACTTTCAAGCAAATGGGCTCATAAAATAGCATTTCTCCTGTAAATCTTGCAGTAAATCATCACGCCATTTTCATGTGAAGCATGTGTCCAAGTTCTAGTTACAGGGAAAGCTTTGGTCACTAGCTGGCCTTTGAAAGCATGTGCATTTTATTTGCTTCACTGGGTGCAGAATTTTATCTCTTTCTTCATCTCAACAGAATTGGATAATCCATAAATCCTGTTATATCATAGTGGCGGGTGGCTTTGGCAGTGTTCCATCTTGTATTACAAACGTTGCAATTACAGGAAATATTCTGAATATTCTGAATGTTTGAAGTTCCAGTTCCAAATTTCTAATACATAAATCACAAGCCACCAACAAGTTCACAATAGAAACATGTTTTTATTAAATGTAACTTTATCTCTTAATTTTGTTAAATGTTGATTTATAGCATATTCCAGTGTTTTCCAAACCAGTCTTATAGGCACTCCTACCAGTCCAGGATTTAGGGATTATCCAGCTATGTCTAAGGTTTTTTTTGTTTTTTTTAAAACACCTTGGACACACCTGGGTAATCCCTAAATCCTGGACTGTTAGGGGTGCCCTGAGGACTAGTTTGGGAACCAATGGCATATCCTAAAATATGGGGCTGTATTATAAAATAGGCCTCAATATAATCCTATGTGTAGGGTATGCGTGTAGGGTGCGAGAACTCCACTTTATTTATTATTTTATTCAGTTAAAAAGGTGTATTTTCAATTCACGAGGGCTTTTAAATTGTGTCATTTGATTTTGATGTCTCTTTCTGGTAGCTTCAGTTATGTATTTGGGTTAGCTTAGCAGGAACTATTTTTTTTTTTTTATTTTTTTTTTTAAATGCTTTGCAGTTTGATTAGCTTAAAGGACCACTATAGTGCCAGGAAAACATACTCGTTTTCCTGGCACTATAGTGCCCTGAGGGTGCCCCCACCCTCAGGGTCCCCCTCCCGCCGGGCTGGATGGCAAGGAAAGGGGTTAAACTTCCCTTTTTTCCAGCACTGGGTGGGAAGCTCTCATCCTCCTCTTCGGCTTAATGCGCATGCGCGGCAGGAGCTGCGCGCGCATTCAGCCAGTCTCATAGGAAAGCATTCATAATGCTTTCCTATGGACGCTGGCGTCTTCTCACTGTGATTTTCACCGTGAGAATCACGCAAACGCCTCTAGCGGCTGTCAAGGAGACAGCCACTAGAGGCTTTAGAGGCTGGATTAACCCTAATATAAACATAGCAGTTTTTCTTATATAAAAAAAAAAAAGTTAATCCTAGAGGGACCTGGCACCCAGACCACTTCATTAAGCTGAAGTGGTCTGGGTGCCTAGAGTGGTCCTTTAAATTTGAATTTAAAACTTAGATGTATAATTTCAAATTGTCTCCCCCTCCTTCTCCCCCCCCCCCAGATCTGCATTCCAACTAGTAGACTGGCATAGTTTGGATCCGTTGATGCTTAACATAGTTTTAGGTTAGAGCAATGTGTTCAATGTGTAGGAATGTTCGTGTCTTGCTCTTCGCTCAGTGATTGATACAGAGACCTCTAGGTTACTGTATGGTTGTCTAGCTTAAAAAAAAAAATCAGGTGTTTTGGCTTTTTTTGTTTTTCTTAGTATTTCTTTTCAGAGACTTTTAACCCCTTAAGACTAAACTTCTGGAATAAAAGGGAATTATGACATGGCACACGTCATATGTCCTTAAGGGGTTAAAGTGTAATTTGTATATGTATTTTTCTGCCTTTTGCTTATGACCTAAAAAGAATATTTTGGTGGTCATTTTTTTTTTTTTATTTTTTTTTTGCATCATGACCTTAAGTTTATACAGGATACTTTATATATGCAACAAGGTTATGTATTTAGAAATTGTTTCAAGGTAATCCATTAAACACTGACCGTTAAATGGGCAACTGTGGTTTTAGCTGATACCGAACTGCAAACAGCGAGCTGTAAAATTTGTTAAAGAAATAGTGTGAGGGTTTAAGCACATAGTTGACTTTCTATCAATGGAGAATTTGTGACTTTTATGCTCTTGCACAATTATATTCAAAGAACGTGACTTTTTTTTTTTTTATTACTATAATTATATAGTACAATGAGAGCCAGGAAGCAATTCTCTCAAGACAATGGTGATTCTCCCACACTAGAACATTAATGTCCTTGGCGTGGCCATAGCGAGAAATAAATCTGAGCCTTGTTCCGCAAATAATGAGCAGTGAGTGCTAGCTCATATAATACCATGGGATCTCAGAGTCCAGTGCAAAAACATTGGTTAAAAACAGGCACCAGGCTGTAAAGAGTAGACTACTTCCTTAAAGCCCAGTGAAGTACAAGACACCCGTTAACGCATTTCAACAGAGTGCCAGACTTTATCAAGACCAGTACTTTTTCACCCAACACTGTAGTGTACGTACATGTGATGCAACCCATACTTTCCCAATCTCCAACTGCAGTGCAGCTGCTGAGATCTTTCAGTTTCACCGGCAAAGAGGAATCCTAATAAATCACATTGTAACCGCCATATTCATATTTTGCTACATTCAGTATACTCCTGACTGAGTGTGGACACAAAAGGTTTAACTCGAAAGAGCCTAGATTACATTTTACGAAGACCAAACTGCTATAAAGGTTCACTTTCTAAAGTGACATATCCTACGAAGAGCGGCCACGTCCAAGGTTTTCTTAGAAGTGGCCTTGGGGTCATCCTATATCATTTGATTAAACACTCACATTCCCTTTGAAAAGGACATGATTGTATCATTACATTTTAATCATAAAGAAGAACTGAACTCTTCAGACACATTTTGAGAGAAAAACAAGAACCGAGTTAGCTTCATTTACTCTGGAAATATCACTTCTTTAGGAAACAAAAAAGGATTAATGGAACACTATAGTGTTTGTATTCCTGATACTATAGAACTAAATAACAGTTTAGGCCACCAGCCTCCCTTACCGCTGGTGAGAAAGGTTTACGCCTATTTTTCCAGCGCGCTTTCGGATCCGTCCCCTTAGCTGAGCTCATCAAACATTGGAAAATAGCAGTGTTTCCATTAAAATTCCTGCAGGAACAGGCAGTAGACACCAGAACAACTTAATTAAGTTATTCTGGTGAATGAATATAGTTTCCCTTTACGTGATTAACACACAGCATAAAACCTACAGGACCATTGCAAACAGTGTTTAGCCCCTTAAACACAAATTATGGTCTATGCCATCAATCTGGATTAAAAGGACCTTATTCCAGAATGGAATGAGTCCTCTGCTGAGGAGTCCAGAGTTAAGTACCCTAAAACCTCAATATTTGAAAGAATCTCTGCTCAATGATGATTTTAGTCTTTCTGGTGGCAAAATAAACATGTCCATGAATACCTTCAGAGCAGTATATTTTCTTTAAATTAAGAAAATATTTATAAAGGGAGTTGCTCCACAGTACAAGGAAGTTGGCTGATAGTAAATGATTACATGAAATAAAAGTTGGCGAGGGCCGCTTATGAGCTTACCTTACATATCAAGGGATACCAGAAGTACATCGGGTTAAAAAGGAATCTATACACCTGTTCATGTTTTTATGGCTTTAGTGATTGTTAAGTGACTGATGGACTTTTTTTGAACTACAGTTATTAAGTCGTATTCATCTTCTATACTGATATTAAACCTTATGCAAAGACTAGTGACAGCTGAACAGAGGTAAAAAGTATACATTTTGAGTACAGAGGTATTTTCATGTGGGATGCCGTGTGGATCATTTTGGGGTAGTGTGACAACTGTGGGTGCCTGTTTAAAATGGCAAAAGCGAACTGTGTGTTTTTTTTAATCCTATACATTTCTATTATTTTATTTAAATTTTTTCTTACATCCCACTCGCACATTTACAAGAACAATATTTGAATTATATATCTCCAATCTGACCATCTTATCTGAGTGGTTATTGGGAGGCAACTCTTCTTTTTATACTCAACCCCCATTGCACCTAAATGTAATCCTTAATTTAGCCCATTCAGCTCCTATACAGGAATGGTTATACATTAATAATTGTCTAATCTCTAAAACTGTGGTCAGATTTTTTACCTTTGTGTCTGTACATTGGTACAGATGGAACGATATCTAGCAGGTTGTATACACTAGAACAAAATAGGGCACATTTCAGACTTTTTATTTTCCGTTTTAACATTTGCCTCTCTTTTCTTAAAGTGAAAATGTCAGATACAGAATGTTGGAGTACTGTCGTTCAATAGTGACTTTTTTTTTTTTTTTAAAGCAGACTTTTTCAATCAGTTTTTTTTTTTTATACATCCCCAAGCAAATTTTATTCATACAAATAAACAAATTTAGTATTGCATTTTTCTGCAGTTGGAGCACAGGGAAGTATTTTTGTTTGGAATATTTTTTTACATATAAATACAGATACTAATTGTGTTAACATTGCACCATGTTTCTTATTGAAAACTGACTTCATATACATTACACACGTTTTAAAAGTTTTGCTCCAGTTTCACGGGACAATTCAAGCAACATAATCACCTGTGCCCCATCTACAGGTTCTAGTATAACACGCTCCCTGGCCCTTTTAAATGTAATGCAGCTTATACATTTTGATAGGCTTCCATAAAGGATTGGACTGTGGCTGCATAAGTGTATGGAACTATCTAGCTCTATTTATGGAAAAACTTTGAATAGAACATTTGGTTTGTGAGAAATTGCAACACTGGTTTAATGCGTATGTTTTAAAGAATGAAAGTGTCGAATAATATCCACCTAACCATTTCCGCACATATGCAGCTCTTAAAGAAACCTTGTAACCAATTCTTAGTCAAGACAGAGCTCACTGTAGGTACACATCCTCACCATTGGCAGCAAAGCAGGAACATCAAAGATTAGTATTGTTTTGTTTTGTACACTTTTTTAAAAAAAAATCTACGTTTTTATCTTCGTAGTGCAATAAATGAGTCGAGAGACTCAAATATGCCATTACATAACAAAATACGTGGAGCAGCGTTGAGGTAAACCTTATTTAAATACTTGTCCTAAATTGTGTTTGGATATAATGTGGCAGAGTCAACAAGTTCTCCGCATTGCTTCCAAGGTACACGATCAGTTCCTGTTCTTCTTCCTTGCATGACAATCAGACTTTATTTTTATTTTCCGTTAGATTTATTACTAAGATACCTCTGCAAATGCCTACTGGTGTAAAAGGTGGCATTATAAGCAAGACCTTTGCCCTGTGCACAGACTGAGCTTTGAATGGGAAAGTGGAGCATCTGTCGAGCACAAAGAATAGTTTCATAGGTTTTGAAGTGTGTATTTTTATCATGGTTTTATTACCTATCTGATGGTGCTATAAAGATAAGAATCCATTCTGTTGCTGTTCCAAAATTCAGAGCTGCTATCGCTGATTGATATATTTTTTTCTGTGTTCGTCTTTTATAGAGATGTACAGTATATACTCGAGTATAAGTCTAGTTTTTCAGCACATTTTTTGTGCTTAAAAACCCCCACTCGACTTATACTCGAGTCACTGTCTGTATTATGGCAACTTAGAGAGCTGCGGCCGTCAGAGCCATGGCAACGATCCGCGCGGCAACCAGACCGCGAGACTTACAGTGGAGCTGACCGGAACGGAGGAGAAGGGAGCTGACAGGAGCTGCAGGAAAGGTAAGTAAATGCTTCCTGCCGGCCCCCCCACTTCACAGCCCATGCCACTGGACCACCAGGGATTAAGATAGCCCTCCTCCTTGACCAGTTAACAAGCAGGCAGGGGGGACAAAATAAAATTAAAATAATAAAAAAAAAATAATATTAAAATAAAAAAAATTTAAATAATAAAAATGCCCTCCCCCACCCAGTTCACACACACTACACAAACACACACTCTGCATTATATACACAGAGTGTGTGTATATAATGCAGAGTGTGTGTTTGTATGAGTGTGTGTATATAATGCAGAGTGTGTATATATAATGCAGAGTGTGTGTTTGTATGAGTGTGTGTATATATAATGCAGAGTGTGTGTTTGTATGAGTGTGTATATAATTATAAAAATCACAGAATTTCATAGCCCCAAGATTTACCCTCGACTTATCCACGAGGCATAGCATATTTCACAATTGTTGGTCACAAAACTGCACTCGACTTATACATGAGATCGACTTATACACGAGTATATACGGTAAATGTAGCTGGTGCTGTTGTTGTGACAAACTGAAAACGTATTCAGTACATGGATAAGCTGCACACGGCATGAACTAGTTTAAATGCCAGTCATGATCACTCCTAAAACTGTATCGTTTTCTACTTACCGTATATACTCGTGTATAAGTCGAGTGCAGTTTTGTGACCAACAATTGTGAAATATGCTATGCCTCGTGGATAAGTCGAGGGTAAAACTTGGGGCTATGAAATTCTGTGATTTTTTTAATTATATACAAACACACTCATACAAACACACACTCTGCATTAAACACACACACTTATACAAACACACACTCTGTATTATATATACACACACACACACACTCATACAAACACACACTCTGCATTATACACACACACTCATACAAACACACACTCTGCATTATATATATATATACACACACTCATACAAACACACACTCTGCATTATACACACACACTCATACAAACACACACTCTGCATTATATATATATATATACACACACTCATACAAACACACACTCATACAAACACACACTCTGCATTATATATATATATATATATATATATATACACACACACTCATACAAACACACACTCATACAAACACACACTCTGCATTATATATATATATATATATATATACACACACTCTGCATTATATACACACACTCTGTGTATATAATGCGTAGTGTGTGTGAACTGGGTGGGGGGAGGGCATTTTTAATTTTTTTTATTTTAATATTATTTTTTTATTATTTTGATTTTATTTTGTCCCCCCTCCCTGCTTGTTAACTGGTCATGGAGGGGGGCTATCTTAATCCCTGGTGGTCCAGTGGCATGGGCTGTGAAGTGGGGGGGGCCGGCAGGAAGCATTTACTTACCTTTCCTGCAGCTCCTGTCAGCTCCCTTCTCCTCCGTTACGGTCAGCTCCGCTGTAAGTCTCGCGGTATGGTTGCCGCGCGGATCGTTGCCATGGCTCTGACGGCCGCGGCTCTCTAAGTTGCCATAATGCAGACAGTGACTCGAGTATAAGTCGAGTGGGGGTTTTTAAGCACAAAAAATGTGCTGAAAAACTAGACTTGTACTCGAGTATATACTGTATTTTTCCCCCCAAAAAGAGCCTGTGTCGTTGGGAAGATTCGACTTGGACACTTTCTTTATTCCTCTTATACTATATCTCTTTAAAAAAATATATATATTTATATATTTCTCAAAACTTTTAGTAAATTAGTCTTTTAGTCATTTACTTTGGATTGTTTAGTGTTTTTGCTGTAATTTTGGATTTGGCCTGCATCCCTCCCTCTCCTCCCTTCTCTCTGTTTTATGCCTGTCTTTCATCAGACCAAGTGGCACTTGCAAACTGCAATTGAGCTGTTGATGACAGGCACTCGAATTTGCTTTGGAAGCAGTGTATAATAAGGCAGAATTAAACTATGCTTTATAGAAAAATTAGTAAGATACCATTGTAAAATATTAATAGAAGAGCCACTATAGTAAATACAAATAGCAATACAAACTTGTAAGGTTTTATCCAGATTTCAAATCTGATTTTCTATCGAGATATAAAAATTTTATTCAACTGGTACCCATGTTCTTTAACCCTTTCCATACCAAGCCCCCTTTTTTTAAAATTTCATTTCAGTATGTGTAAATAGCACATGTAATGGAAACAAAAATTTTGGTTGAACAGAAAAACTTTTACAAATAATGAAGATAAACAGAATTGTAAATATATTATAGTATAATTATTATATATGTTATCACATTGATCCTGCCTATAAGATATATAACCCTCATTCAGAGCTGTATTTGCTATAATTCCACCGAGGCCATGACCTTGGATGGCCAGATAAATTCTTCTGCCGTGGGGGCCTACCTGACAGGTGAGATCTCAGTATTGTTTCACTGTGTTCTTGGGGAAACACTCTGATACATTTCCTCGTTCTTGCTGGAAGGGGGGATCTGCAGCCATCAGGTTTCCCTCTACCTGGCCCAAGTTAATCATTGGGTGGGGGGGCTGTGGGGGGAGGGGGGTAGTGGGGATGGGATAGACGGTAGGTTTTTGTTTTTCAATCAAACATTTTTTAAATTTTATTTAAAAAAGCAAACCAATATCCTCCACAGTGCAATACCAGTCATCCCACTATAGTCTCTATCTCCCTCAGCATAGTCCCTGTCCCAACCACAACAGCCTCTGTCTACCACTACAGCACCTATACCCCTTTTTCACCAATCACAGCCCTTTCTCCCCTGAAAAAAACAAACTCATAAAAACCACTGTCTCAACAAAATGCACCCAAAGGTCCTATTACCCTAGAAGGCACACAACAGTACCGATTACCCCAAAATGCACACTACAGTTCCTATTCCAAGCACACATACACTACAGACCCAATTTTCCCATGCATACACACAACAGCCTCAATTTTTCCCACACATACTCTGCAGCCCAATTCATCTTCCCAAAACAAACAGTTTAGCACCCATACAACTGTTAACTTCGCAAATACAAACACTACAGCCACTATTTACATACTGCACCACAAACAGGCACATCCACACAAACTGCATCTCCTCCACGACCACAACCTTACAAACAGTTTCACCCATATACACAAACGCCAAAAGCAGCATCCCCAGAAACGAGAAATTCCACAAGTAGCCTAACCTTACAAATGCAGCCACCCCACAAGCAGCATTTTGACAAACCTTGCATTAATGCATCCAGTTGCATACCCCAAACTTTTGAATATATGTATGCGTTTTATTATTATATATATATATATATATATATATATATATATATATTGAACTGAGTAAAAAACTGGCATTGGGACAGCAAGCAAAGTAAATCTAGCCCTGCCCCCATTGCAGCCATGTTGCATTGTTTGGCCTCTCACACTAATACATGCTTATACATATACACACACTGATACGTACGCTTGTGTGTATGTATGTGTGTGTGTGTGTGTGTGTGTGTGTGTGTATGTGTGCACTCATAGTCCAAACGTGTAGTTTATTCAAATGTTATTCATAAGATGTCCCGATCAATGTTTCGACCCCTCAGGGTCTTTTTCAAGATCAAATATACAGTGCAATTAAAAAGTTTAACACGTGCGCGTTACGTGGTTGCTAGGTGACTGATAAACAAAAGTGCAGTGTTATTTCGTAACAGTGCTGTGCTAAAAGTTCGCGAGAGAGAATTATTATTTATTTTATTTTTTTTATTATTTTTTTTTCTTCAATGAATGGAGGTGTCAGTTATTTATAATCAACTTGACTCCCTGGGACGCCTTGGTGACATATAGTAAGAAGGGGATAGTGCTAAGTGTTGAATTAATAGGCATGCAATGTGTCGAAAATGTCTACAACCCAAATAATAACAAAGATTAGTACCAAGGTTCAATAGACTGTCAAAGGTGATTTTCATATGAGTATTAATGTATAGTTAAGGACTGGGTGCTGTAGTTTATTCTATATATAGATTTATGCACATTTTCTTGCAGAGGGTTGATATTTATATCCAATTAACGGAACCTTGATTACGGTGAATCACAACTATATACAGTCATATACATATCAGGCAATGTTAATGTGTCCAACAGATTACTGTGTTGGATTGAAACTACAAGAAGAAATACACGTTAACGTGCCGACTATATACATACCTGGTTAAATGAGCATGTCATGAAAAGTGTGAGCTAGGTTTTCCCGTGTTTCAAAATGGCAATATGTATGTGCCAATCTGTAGTCTATACAGTAACTACGCATTAATGTCACTATATGTAAGTCTTACAAAAAATAAAGACAAATAGCTGCTGGCCGATTTTTCTTAATCGGTCCGCTAATGGGGTTTGTGTCTTATGTGGCAGGTACATTAAATGTGGGCACGGAAAAGCTGGATCCATAAACCATATTCTAACTATTTACAAAAACATAGAGTAAGAAATGTATTCATTCAGTCCTTTGGGAACTACTGTGTCTAATCGGTGTATCCAATATGTTTCCCTTTGTAAGAGAAGTTTAGATCTATCGCCACCACTGGGAAAAGGTGGGATGTGATCTATGGCCATAAATCATAGAGTAGGAAGTCTGTGGGAAGTTTTTCGAAAATGTTTTGTCCGTATGTTGATCCCTGAAGGCAGTCATAATACCGGATCTGTGTCCTCTTATTCGGTCTCTGAGTTTTAAGTCCGTCTTGCCGATGTATGAGAGTCCGCACGGGCATGTGATGAGGTAGATTACATGGTCCGTTGTACAAGTGATACACTGAGATATTGGAATTCTTTTACCACTATGTGGATGTGCGAACGTTGTTCCAGTGTTCATGTGACTACATGTCACACAACCGCTACATTTGTAGCATCCTTTCTTTTTGTGACCTCTTGGTTTTTGGTAACAATTTATTGGGTAACTCCGGATTAATAGATCTTTTAAATTTCTATTTCTTCTGTAGCTGATGATTGGTAGATTCCTATCTGAACTTAAGACTCCCCAATATTTCTTGATGGATTTACATATGCATGTAGTCCCTGTATGAAATGTAAGAGGAAGGTACATTTTTGGTTTATGGTTGGCTATGGGTGGGTCATTCTGCTCAGTGTTGCATTTCCATTTTTCAATGGCTTTTTTTCTTGTCGATTTCCAAAATTCGAGGTTGGTAGCCTCTTTCCAAAAATCTATTTGTCATATCCTGTAACTGTCGCTCCTGATTGGCTGAGTTGTTGTTATATTGGAGTACACGCAGTCACTGTGATATGGGTAGTGAGTCATTTAATTTTTGTGGATAGTAACGTGTAGATTGTAACACAGTATTTCTATCTTTGTCTTTCCAATGGAGTGTGTATCCCAATCTGTTCTATTCTCTAAATACGGTCACATCTAAGAATTGTATCTCAGTCTCCTTGTGTGTCATCGTGAGTTTCACTGGGAGGGGTGAGGTATTTATTCCATTCACCATGTCTTCAAGTTCCATATGTGTGCCTGTCCAAATAAAAAATGCGTCGTCCACAAATCAATGGGATGTGCGGATGTGTTGTGCATGTGGTCTTAGTATATGTTCTTCTTCGAAGATAAACATGTAGGCATTGGCATAAGAGGGTGCCATGGCTGCCTTCATAGCAGTACCTGCTATTTGGAGAAAGAAGTGTTCTTCAAATTTGAAGTAGTTGCATGTTAGTGCAACATTTAAAAGATCAACCAACCATCACCAACCATATCTGTTAATTATCTGAAAATTAGATATCTTGGATCTTCTCCAGGAAGTCACTGGTGTCCCATAGACAAGTATGTAGATTTATAATTGATTTTATGATGTAGTAATAAATGTATTTAGCAATTGGTTCTAGGAGACTGTCCCTGGCGGAGACAATTGGTCTCCTAGGTGGGTTGTTGGGATCTTTGTGAATTTATGGTACTGTGTACAGTAGCGGGTGTTTAGTGGTATTGGTATCCAAATAGCCCATTTGTATTCCGATTGCTTATTCTTTCCTGGAACTTAGTGACTGGGTCAAATGTGAGTTTTTGGTAAATGGACTTGTCAGATAGTTGTTGGATAATGTCATTCCTGTATTTTTCATATGTCATAATTACAATTGCTCCCCCCTTATTGACTCTGCGTATGAGGATTCTCGGATCTTTCATAAGGTCGTTGAGAGCAGTCTTTTCTAAACCTCTGAGGTTTTGTCTGTGGTCAGGTGGATTTTTCATCATTTGATCTTTATCAATTTTCAATGCCTGCATGAAAACCTCAGAGGTTGTCTTTTATATTTCACTGAGTTTTTTTTGTTTTTGTTTTTGTAGTTGGATAGGGCTCCTTACTTTGTTAGTTTTGTGTTAGAGTACGCTGTAGTTTGTACAATTCCAAATCTGTTCTAAAGGTATCAGGTTTGGAAACCAGGACCAATATTAGTCCTTTGGTCAGGACTGAATAATGATGTTTGGTTAGTTCTCTCTAACGAACTTTTAGCACGGCACTGTTACGAAATAACACTGCACTTTTATCAGTCACCTAGCAACCACGTAACGTGCACGCATGTACGTCAGGGTGCTCACGTGTCCCGCATGTGCACTTCTGGGTTCGGAGGGATGGAGCGCCACACACACACCTGTTTTGGTAAGCGATCATCACTAATATTGTATTAAAATTTTTTTATTGCACTGTATATTTGATCTTGAAAAGGACCCTGAGGGTCTACACACCCTGATAAATACACATGCTAATACACACCGATATTTCAGACACGCTCACTGATATTTAGTGACACATGTTCTCAGACACATACTGATACAGAGACATATATGTACACTCACGATACCAAAATATACTGTCAGACACATACGCACATATACCTGCTGCCAGAAACAATGTCACACAATTACTCTGATAGTGCAGTGGGGACTGTCATTACAAGTGCTCTTATTCCAGTGTGAGACTGATGTCACTGCTCTTCTCTGCAAGCTACCCTCCAGTATCCTTCTTCTCTGTGAGGTGGGTGGCTGGCTTCTCTCCTTGCAGCCCTCATCAGTCACTACCCGTTACTGACTTGCATTTAGAAGGCTGACTTTTTTTCCCCTGGAGCTCCCTTTCAGCCACCCTAGATTGGCTCTGTGTGAGGGATGGTAACTGTCCCCGCTGCTCTGCCAGCAGCTGCTGCCCAACTTGATTCACACAGAGCACTGACAGGCAGGGAGAACAAGCTGCTGGACACTTCCCAGCTCATTCTTCCTAGACTTCAGCATTATCAAGAAGGTCAGGCTGCTTATCTGTACCCTGCTCAACCCTCTTCTCAGAATGCTGGAGCTGCCTGCAGGATGAACAGAGCTGAACACAGTGAGTGAGTTAGTCTTTTTGTGTTCAGCTCTCTGAAGTTCACCACATGGCTGCTGGTGCCGCTACGCTACGAACTTATGGGCACTGCAAATAGCATAATTTGCAAACAAACTATTTTGCAGGTATGCATGCTTACTGTGGCATTTGTAGGGTTTAAGGGTTACTCCAAGAATCCTCATCACTTTAGCTTTCTGTAATGGTTATGATGCAATGTGTACCCTGGAGCTCTTTCCTGAGCTAAACTCAAGAGGCAGGTAATTGTCCAGAGCTACTGCCAAGGGGAGGGATTGCAAAGGCTTCAGACAAAAAATTTGCAGTTTATGCCAACTGTTTTTAGCTATGCCACCAGTGTGAAAAAAAAAATCACAATTAATTGCATACATATTTTAATTGGAGGTATATCGCCTAAATAGTATTTACATTTTTTTAATTTGGGCATGAAGTGACCCTTTAACTCCTCCTCGTCAATAACAAGAGTGTGATTAAACAATTTATAAACCCTTTTTACACTGTAAATTCCCTTCCAAGCACACTTTAAAATGAGAGAAATCAGAGTACATATTGTTCCCTCCAAATTTATTTTCTGGGATGACAAGGTTGCACAGAGAATTAACCATGTCGACTTTATAGTGTGATGTTTTCAAATGGGTTTTGGACTGCTATGGCATATTTGCTCTCTGAAGCCCTTCTCTCTACTCTGTATTCGATATGGTCTGAAAATGTAATTTTGTTACTCACTAAATGCAGCTCAATATGAAAATGGAGATAACCCCTAAATTGCATGTACAATTAAGGAAAATTTTGTGGTTTTTTAGGCAGTATACTTTAATGAACTAGATATTATTTATTCCATATACTTTATTTATTTATTTTTATTTTATATTTCTGCTGCATAAATCATTGAGGCATTTTCTAGGGATTTTTTTTTCTAGGGCAATTTTTCGTACCCAGTATTATAAAAAGAATACTCATCTCATTATTTCTGTAGCCTATACTCATCTGCGGTATCTTCTTTCATATTTCAATGGACAGTGTGTGTATTTTTAAGTACATCAGTTGCTACAATTTTTATTTTGCATGTTTCTGTTCTAAAATTAGAATGTGGTTGGCATTCTCTGGTCATACATGATCATACATGATTCATTGGTCTTTGATTTTTTTTTTTAAATAAAGGATGTTGGGATGTCAGGAAAAAAAATTCTCTTTGTGTTTCATGTCTTTTTGTTTTGTAAAGGTTGCCCTATGTAGATCTACTCTTTCTTTATATTCTGGAAAATTGTGTCTCTGTGAGAAGAATGTGATTTGGAGCCTCTGGTATTCACGTCATGTTCCTATAAAAACATTCCTCTTTGGTCTCAATCTTTCACTCAGCCCTTTAGTTTGCAAATTCCATTATTACTGCCCCAACTAAATACAATGTAATTGTGTGTATATGTAACAGGGCTTTAAAGAAGGTTTTGGTGAAATCAAAACATGGTAACACTCCCCCGATCTAAACTGGTTCATAAAAATGCAATATTCACAAGACAGATCATGTCCCCAAGTAATTCTGACACAATGTTCCACTGTTCTCCCAGATTGCATTGCTGAAAATGCAATTAAAGGACCACTAAAGTAATCTAGACCACTTCATCTTGATGAAGTGGTCTGGGTGCAGTGATTCTGAATGCCTCATATTATATTGCTTGAATACATGCCTCGGTGTATTTGTGTACGTACCTAAATTAATGGAGTCAGCTGCAAATTGTAAGTTACACTACTCTTGGTGGTACCCGAAAATGGCAGCGATTGCCTGGGAAAGTGACTTCCATTAAAACATGTGTCTTTTGGTGCTCTGCTAACAAACTGCCAAGGTGTGTCTATGTTTTTGTGTTTGCCTAACCCTCTTTAAAAAAAAAAAAAAAATTAAAAAAAAAAAATGAAGATACATGCCTTGGCGGAAATGTTCCATGTTTGAATTAAGCATTGGTTCCCTCATTGCTAGGATCTAATTTTGTTTTTTGGAGTGGTATCTCCCTAAATCCCCAATACAGATTTATGTAGACCCCATTGAGGTAGCAGTGAGTGCGTCTTTGTATGCATTTATTTATTTGCATTTTCACAGCTGATCTTCATCTGTGAGGTGGTGGTGAGATAAAGATGGTATTATATCTGCAGTGGTCATTTTACATTGCTTAGATTGGAAAACTAAATTTTATCTGTATAAAAAAAAATGGTCACATTAAGCACTGCATTATTTTTATCTTGTTAAATTAGATGTTTTGGCAAAGAATTCAAGATTTTCTGTTATCTATAAAATGTTTAACTGAACTGCTCGAAAAGTTCCCATGAGGTGGACATTCTTTATTGGCAATCTCTAATGATTAGAGTCTCCTCTATGCCTCCAGGAAATTAAAAGTTTTTTTAATAGCAGTATCTTCAGCCTTGTTATTTATGGTTTCGTAGTGTTTTGATCAGAGCCAGCTGTTGTCTAGATTTGGTTAGCAATCCAATTTCTATGTTTTTTTGAAGCATTTGATTTATCAAGCAGATATGTTATATGACACTTTAATAAAATAACTCCAGAATGTAACATGGGGTTTTCCGTTTTTTTAACAGCTTGATAAATCTAGCCCAAAATGTTCTGTTATTACCATTTTTGGTCCATTAACTAAAGCTGCTTTGTTTAATGTTTTACATAAAGAACATTGTAAACATTATTAGATTGGAATTGGTAGCGATGATTGTTGATTAATGAATGTTGGTTTTCATAGAAGAAGATCCTGCATTTTAAGTAGATTTTGAAACTGTTATAGTAGTGGTTATGGTGGGAAAGAGTCCCCTGCTATCTTCCTCCAGTAAGTAATCAAAGTATTTTTTTTACTTGATTTCTGATCTGGGTCCTCCAGTTGCCTCTAGTTTGACCTTTTTTTGAACCCACGTACACGGAAGTTCATACTATGAAAATGTATCAGGGTTATTCCTTAAATGAACTGTAGGCAATTTAAAAGAATGTTAAATTTTACGCCAAACTGATAAATAGTGTTTTTTTCACTTTTTGTGCCACCAAATAGTTGATGGAAAGGATTATTGGCAATTACCTCCGTTTTCTGTATAGTTAATTTCGGTGTGGATAAATCCTACAGGAAGCAATAGCCTTATTTTGCTAAGGGAAAAAATGGAAGACTGAATCAGAATTTGCAGAGGCACAAAACGTGTTAGGAAAAATACTAAAACTATAGGGAAGGGGGGAAACCTGTTCACAAGCCTGTTGGGGATTGAGCTAAGACCCTTTCAATTTATAAAGTTATTTTATTGCTTGTTATTTGCTTGACATATGCAATCATTAAACAATTGCACATCGCTCACACCATCTGAATATGCGTATTTGTAATGACAACCTTAAACGGACACTCCAAGCATCATAAACAATGTAACATGCTGTATTGGTTATGGTGCCAGGAGTGCCTTGGCACCCTACCAGGGTAATTTATCAAACCATTTTTAGAACGGTTTTGTCCCTTAGCACCCGCATCACATCTGGCTTCTCTGGCAGGCAAAGTCAGATGGCTGCATTGAGCTGAAGCAAGTCTAGCACAGGTTCATTCTTTTTGGCGGAAGACACTCAGTTGACCATGTCACTTAATGATTGAGGACATGCTTGGTTCAGTGGAGCCAACTGGATTGTCCATGCAAGAGAAATGGATATATGGCCTTGGCTGCAGGCACTCGATGCAACCCAAATAATTTGTCAGATTTTTCTAACACAGTTTGATAAATTAGTCTGGGAGAGGGTAAGGGCACTCTTAGTATCATAACCTCTACACCCACTTGTAGTGTTTCTGATGATTGGTGTGTTTTCTAAAACACGATATTTAGATTTTTCAGGTAGACAGGCAGGCTTAAAGGGTGTTGGAGAACATTTTTGTCAACTTGTTTTAAAATAATTTGACACACAAAAAACCAAACAAACAAATACAAAGTTCAGTCCACATATTCTCCTTGCAGCATAAACTTTGCAATAATGTGCAGTGTTTATGGTGCTTAAAACTTGAGTTTCAATTTCTGAATTTTCTCTGGAAGACCATCAAGTGGATCAAAGGTGTATCTCATACAAATAGTTATTTAAAAACAATCTAGATCTGAGTCCTATACAAAGTTGTTTTTTTGTTTGTTTTGTTTTTTTACACTTTTTTTTTTAGCACTCTCATTGTAAATATTAAGTGTGCAGAATAAGCTCTAATTTTACATCATTTGGATGTAATTCGGGAAAATACAAACTAACATGGACATTTTGTATACTGAGATTTACATTTAAATGAGCCAATGTATACTGGACGCATGGTAAATTAATAAATGTTTAAAACCATCTAAAACACATATTGTTTGCATGATCTTTCAAACCATCCTGTACTTTATTCCAACAACACTGAATGCAATTTTATTCCATTATTTTAATTTTATCTACCTTAACAAAATAAGTTCTCCAACTTGGCACATTGGCTTTTTTCCTCCTATATTATTTTTGTTTCTCTAGTTGAACGAAGGCTGTGTTTTATTAAATGAAGAAGCAGTTATGTGACATTTTGATGGAAAGTGCATTCATGTCTTCTACTGGCTGCAGTTGAGATTAGTTCAATAGACGGATGTAGGACAATGACTACAACCTGCAGATTTTGTTAAAATAAAAAAAATGTAAAAATCCAATCTAATAATCTAGGGAAAAATGATAGATGTGCATTAGCATTTTTGTCATGCTCTACTGCTATACAATTTAGTCACCCATCTTCCCTGATTGATGGTTTTCGAGGGGCTAAGCAAGTAGTCTGGTCAAGATTTTCGTATGGCTTTAGACATTTAAGACATGCTTAGCCTGCTATAACAGGGTTTGTGAAGTCCATCATTGGTTTTGCAATTGTCTATCAGATACTAATATCTTAACAGACCATATTATTGTAAAGCGCTACGGAATCTGTTGGCGCTATATAAATGGCGGTAATATTAATAATAATCTAATGGTAACGTTGGACCTCTTGCAACTGGTTGTTTCCCTGACAGGTATATCTATAGCTTCATAGTACTAAACAGGGCATGCTCTCTCATTTGGTCAGGAGTTGAGTTATGTCATCTGAAATTGTGAGAGCCCAACAAATCATTTTCAAACATCTTTACACTTCAACAGCTGCCACTGATTGCCTGGAAGCTCTTATCAAAATAATTATGTCTGATGCCGCAAAGCGAAAAATGACCACCTCACAACAAAGATGTAAACAAGGAATTTTTAGAAACAACCTGGTCCTACTTCTTTATGGGTGTTCTACAAATGTTACCAGCGAAGATTTAACATTTGATGGGTCTATCTCTGCCATATGATTTAGCATTATACAGTTTATTCCTGTACAATCCATGGCAACACAGATTATTTTAGCCTTATTGTGTTTCAGCCATGGATATATCCAGTTTAAATCAATGAAAATCACATTTTGATTGGCAACATTTTCCTTTTTCTGACACACCAGTCTCGAGTTTTTTTGTTTTTCCCTTGGTAGCCGATATTGCACAGGACAGACAATAAACAGGAATTCAGTTACCTCATAACTAACCAATGTGAGTCTGTCCATTGTGTTTACTAATAAACAAAATCGTTTTTGCTTTTTTCCTGATACAAAGCTTGACTTGCTTAATTACCCGTACAATGCGTAACCAAATTAAAGAGCTTGAAATTAAAAAGGCAATTGGTTCCAAGATAAATAAGATCAGTTTCACTAATCATTCTTGCCAATGGTTTGTTTTAGCATGTTTCTTTGAAAGTACATCTTGCTATACCTGCAAAACCAAATTGTATGTGACAAAGGCTGCGTTGGAGTTATTTAAATCTTCAGAGGTTGATCGTTGCAGAACAGCATATAATGCACTTAGTTTCTTTAACTTTAATGAGATGTACACCATTAGCTGGGCTAGCGTAAAATGGATAAATCCTGGTATGATAGGAGAATGCTTTCCATGTTTTGAGGTGAATTCTTCTATTTGCTGATGCACTGAGTGAGTAGGTAGTGCAATCAATCCTATGAGTTATGAGCTTTTTGCACCGGAAGATACCTTGTATATTGCTTGCGACAGACAATTTTATTTATGAGGGATTTTCTGCTTATAAATAATGGTACAGATGTTACAAGGCCTGGCAGACAAATGCCATTGCTAATGGATATGTAAGGATCAGAGTTTAAATCTTGCCTTTTCTGACTCCTACATTAAAATGCAACTCTGTGTCAGCAAGCGGTTGTAGAATTTATTAAGACAATGTGGCGATGTGGCTTATTCAAAGAATATCGCTAAATTGAATTTGTTGTTCTGTGTTCCACATCAAATTAAAACCGTGACAACTTGTCTGATTCAATGATTAACTTTAAAAAAAAAATGTAAAAAGTTATCCACAGCTCAAGTTCCTTCTATGTATTGGAAGCCTGAGCAGGAAATATTTTGTATATATCAAGGGAAGCATAGAGTCTGCACAGCAGAATAACATATTATTATACTTTAATTCCTTTAGATATTTAAAGGACCACTAAAGTCACCCAGGCCACTTCATCTCAATGAGGTGGGGTGGTCCTCTCTTGTAACCCTGTAATGTAAAGATCTCCCCCCCCCCCCTTTTTTTCCCCTTCTTTTTTTTTAGTTTTATGGGTTATGTCCACCTTATATCTAAATGAAGTTGTTTTGGTGTCTGGAGTGTTCCTTTAAGTAGTAGAGGTACTATGGTATTAGGAATAGACTGCTGAAAGCTTACACTGAGAGTACATTTTTATATAGTATTTTTTATTAATTGCTGTATTTTTGATCAGAAGCCAACTGTGGTTCACTTTCTTTGTATGCGCATTGTGCAGTGATAATACATTTAAATCTGGATCTAGGTGGCAAAGAGACGAGGGTCTTCATCCCAACTGAACTTTTATGGCATTCCCAGCATATATTGACTTTAGCCTTTAACAGCAATGTATACAAGCTTAATTGGTTAAACAGAATATCTTTAAAGAAAAAAAAAAAAGCCTTAAACTATAATGGTTTGCCCTCTTACTTGGATACCCATCTTAAATATTAAAAATGCAAAACAAAACAAACAAACTGATTAAATCAATTTTATATCCACTCTAAGGACTCTGGCCAATAATGACCAAAATATACAATATTATTATATTAATTTGCAACCCCTTAAGACCTGTAGTCCTAATACTTCAGGGCCACACTATCTGTAACAAATTATGCGGCCAGAGCATGACAAATATATATGTTTGTAGTTGCTCCCCAGGGCAAAAGGAGTCAGGCCCTCCACCAGCTACACCAGTAAAATGGAGACATAGGCTGGGTTTTGTTTTGCACCACAACCTATATAGCAATTCTAAATAGTTATGATGCATGGAGTGTCCATTTTAAAAGAGCACAGTTTTTTATTTTTTGTATTTTATAACTCAACACCTCACTCAGTCCTCACTAGCATATTTCTGATACGTTTTCTAGGGCCTTGTGTTGAGATATTAGGGGTGTCTGGAAAAGATTCCATTTTCTTTGTTCTTATGGAGATGTCTGAATATTTCTGACTTTGTTGCCACAGACCCCAGTATCACGGTTGCATATTTGTATGTGAGGAAGTTCCATAATTTACATGGTAAGTATTCTGCTTAATTGATAGCTATTTATAGAAGCTTTTTGTTTTCTTAAAATACGTTGGTACTTTCGCACGATGGGTGTCCTTTTAGCATGTTTCCATCCTTCAAAGTGCCAGCAAAAAATAGGACAATTATTGATGTTCAATAACCTCGAGTCCGACTGCTTCCTCTTTATCTCTGTGTTCATAAGTCCCAGATACAGTACAAACATCTCTTCATCCGCAGTCCAGCAGCCACAGCTGGAAACAAAATCTACATTGATACACTCATTTAGTATTATGTGTTTTAAACTCTCCAGAGAATCCAGGAGCACACTGCAGTGGCCGTTAAGGGGATTAATCTGAAATAAGTAATGGAATACTGGATTAGCGTTCTAGTGATATGTAAAACAGAGCATTTTTCCCCCCCACCGCTAAATGAATTGCTTGCATGTTTGGTAAAGGAATGCAGTGTAAATCATAACTAAAGCACCATATAATGTAACACATCTCCTTGAGGTAGATTAAGAATAGTTTTAATAATGACATGTACAAATCTTTTGCCTTAAAAGGCTGCTACTTGACTTCCCCATATAACTCTGTAACTGTCTTCCAACAGCAGTTTTTTATTTTTGTTTTTTCCCGTATTTGCTTTTAACAATATTTAATAGACCATTAAAGACACCAGACAACTTTGTCTCAATGAAGTGGTCCTTCACGTTTAATCCTGCAATGTAAAGTATTTCCATTTAGTAGATATGGCAATGTTTGTTTGCTTACATTGCAGGGTTAGATACTCCTCAAGTGGCTGTCTTCCTATAAGCCAGTAGAGGAAAGTCTGCAGTGAGAACTTGCCTCTAGTGGCTGTTAAATTCTGTTTTCACTGCTAACCTCAGTTTTATTGGATGATCATGGAGTAGGTATGATGTCTGAAGGAGGAGGATCAAACAGCTGCAAAGACTGGATTTCAGAACAAGAAAAAAGGTGAGTAAACCACAATGTCTCGGTGGTAGGCCACTACTTGCTTGCCTGTCTAGAACTGAAGGTTGCACAGGATATTAGCCCTGTCAATCTCAACTACCTTTTGTGGTATCTCCAATCTGGAGTTGGGTAGGTCCAACCCATATTATGTGCAGATGTTTTAGAACACAATCCCAGCAACTTGCTGTTCCTGCTAAAATCTTGCAACTATGTGCTGGTTTGCCTCAGAGGTCTCTTTGCACAGTCTGCACCTTGGGTTTTGCCTTGTGTTGTAGACCCCACTTCTATCGATCTGGTGCTTAGTGCCTGTTCCTACGCTAAATGGCTTTAGTGCGGTCTTTCAATCCTGCATATTCCAACCACTGGATTTTGTCACGAGAGCCACATCCACTATCTCCTGTGGAGTGGTTTGTCTTGCCATGGAACCTCATCATTGTCTGCATCCTCTATCTGATGAAGTTTCAGAATATAAATATATATATATATATATATATATATATATATAATATATACACACACACACACATACCCACACAGTGGTGTACATAAGATCCATGGGCCCTCCCCTACCATTCACCTCCACCCAGGAAATCCCATTTACATGCCTCCCAACAGTCCCACTTGATGCGGGACAGGACAATTTTGGTTGGCAATCCTGCTGTCCTGCCAAGCTCTATCTGCGTGAGGTATGTACATATACATTATATTTATATGCCCTTATAACAATGCAGAAATAATGATGCATACATACTGCACCAAAAACAAGGGAAGGGGGCTGCACACAGGAGGGGGTTGTACAGAGGGGGAGGGGGGAGAAGGGGTTGCACAGAGGGGGGGAGGGATTTTCACACACAGGGGAGAAGGGGTTGCACAGAGGGAAAATGCACACATACACACATACAGACACTAACACACACACATGCAAAATGTTTGTCACCCTCCTATTACCTATCTTTTAGGTGCAAGAGGGTGACTTCCCTGGGGTCCAGTGGCTCAGGCTGATATGAGTCCAAGTTCCCACTCTAACTCCCTCCTCTCCTTCCTCCTCCCGCGCGGCTCCTGGTGGTTGCTGGGAGGAAGTGACTGGGGCAGTCACTTCCCACCAGCATTTGACATCATCAGAGGGGGCCCTGTCATGCTGTTAAAGCGCATCACTCCCTGGGCCCCTTGGAAATTCATTTCCATTGGGTGGCCCTAACAGCATGGGCCACCTGATGGGCCCCTCCAATCCCGGTGGTTAAACTGCGTGGGCCAGAACCGCAAAAAACATGGCGGCAGGCACCCAGTCGCAGGGGTCCGCATGGCGGCTGGGCTCCCTGGAGTGAGGCACTGGTTGCAGCTGCAACCCCTGTATGTATGCCACTGTGTGTGTGTGTGTATATTATATATATATATATATATATATATATATATATATATATATATATATATATATATATATATATATATATATATATATATAGAGAGAGAGATATCTCAAAGATTCCTTGCACTCGCGCTCTAAATACTGTTTGCCGGGTGCTTGAAACCAAGGAAAAAGATATATCCATACAGAATTGTGATCAGCACTCACTGTCCCCATCCAGGACTTTTTATTAGGATCAGACATCAGATCCTGGTGAGAGTCCCAAATGAGGACTGAAACGTTGATCGAATCTTAATACATCTTCAATAAAGATTGAAAGATATGGAGATATATCTCTTTAACAGAGGATATTTTATATCACAATACCTAAACTATTCATATTTGTAAAAATCTCTCCACAGATGTATCTCCTATCATCTATTCCCTGAACTCAAATATATATATTTTTCCCCAACTATTCTCTGTTTTGTAACCAACAATTTTCTAATCTGCCAATCTTTTACGTTATTTTACAGAACCAGATTGTCAGTCTATTACCTTCTAATCTCTTGACTAGTTCATAATGTAAATCACTTCTTTGATACCCCTTAAGTTCTTTAACTACTGTGATTAAATTCTTTGCTACTGCTGTTTTACTCCACCCCCATTATCTAAAGATAGAAGTCTCCAGACTACCAGACATCGCAATTGCCTTATTTGTTCAATTTTACAGTATTCTAGCATTGAATTATTTGAAAAAGTTCTGGCACAGAATTGCGAAATACTCAAATATGTCTTTTAATTCATACGAGAGACTATGTGTTTTTACATCCCACCACAGAATGTTTGTGTTTTGTCGATAAACGGAAAACATTCCTACGTAATTATTAAAATGACCTAAAGCTCATTTGCCACCTTTTTGCTTTTTAGTGACTGCATGTCTGGGCAGTGACACAAAAACGTACCAATTAACATACAATTCCTGGTTAGTCACGCTTGCTTTACAGCGTGCTATGGCTGTTGACGGGTTTCAAAGGGCATTAGTCATTGATTGTCTAATCATTTAGAGCAGAAAATAAGTAGATCTGCTATGTAAAGTTTGTTTTGGCAAAACGTAGGGTTCCGAGCATTTACTGCTACATTCTCTGTGAAATGCACATTCCGTGTGACCTCAGATGTCAGTGACTTGAGAAACTTGCAGGAGGTCACTAGATGTTTATAGAACAACCATTGGCACTGTAGCCTGCTGAAATATTTCTCTTGTTTTAATATGTAATTATTCTGTTCCAATTGACTAGGCAAATGAACTTCTTTCTGTGTTACAGATTCAGAATAATTGGGGGGAAACAGCCTTGTTTCAGCACATTCTGAGCTTTTTTTTTGTTTAAAGAAGTTCTTATGTATGTCTAACTATGGAATGTCTGTTTTTAAACACAGGAACTTCCAGAGGGAAGGATTAGAGGGAAAGGGACCACAAATGCTTTTGTAACTTAAATAAGTTTCCAATGATTTAGGGAGTCTTTAAATATTTTTATTTTTTAATTTGGCAGTGCAGTGTGATAGTGAATAATGTCTTAGATTGTCAGTTGAGTGATGTTTGTCTTTTTATATTAGAATGTTCAAGCAGATACATTTTTAGAAACATTGCTTTCCTCGTTAATCAAAATCGCTAAATCAGTAATTATGGGAATCGATAAGGGAATTTTAAGTCTTATATTAAAATAGCCAAATTGGAGAAAATTGTAAAAAACAAAACAAAAAAAACCCTGTAAATTCTAAACAAAACATTTTTTCCTTAAAAGTTAAATTTTCTCGTTAGTTCAACTGACTAGTTAGTGATACTTCCTGTCATTTCCTCTTTCACCTCGGCTGAATGACAGCTAATCAGTAGATTAACTTATTTACGTTTGTAAGGAAGGTGGTAAAAAACGTTTTTAATGAATTACTGTAAGTCATTCAGGAAGAAGGCCTTTATACACCTCTCATTGGTCATACTTTTGTCCTGGCATCTGCAGTTAGAAATTAAATAGGTAAACTCCAGGCGATTTGATCCCAGTGCATTAAAGTATGATATAAAAATCTTTAGATACTTATTGTTAGAGGCTAATGCATATGTTGCAAACCCTCAGGATTTGCATATGCTAATGTGAGTCCACCCCTAACTAAGAAACTGAATTCTTAGCCAATCCTAGTCATCCCTGTGGTTTCCGTTTGCAAAGCATATGCTTTTATTTCCTGCTCTAGTCGTTTGGCAACTAGAATGTTCATGTAGCAGCTGGAACCAGACTAAGAATTGTCAAAGCCCGGGGATTTTGTATTGCAGTGTAATACATTTGGGTACGAGATTGATGTCAGATGGGATGTGGCAGGCGAACGTTCCACATTTTTCTGCTGATCGCTACGTTTGCAGAAGTTTTGCTGCCTCAGCATATTCTTTGTTTTTATGATCCACACAAGTGTGTCAGAATGACAGCCTTCCTTCAGTTTATGAAACCATCTCTCTGCCGTAGAATGCCCCTCAAACCATTACAATTTGTATTTACTGCAGTGTAAACTCTGCCATCATGGTCAAGAAACAGAATTGAAAATGAAACCTCAAGTCAGATTTCTTGTGGTTTTTATTTTATTTTATTTTTTATGAAGGCCATTTAAAAAAAAAAAAAAAAGTATATTTTTTTTGATTAGAGTCTGCTTAATTTTTTAAAAAGTAGAGAAAACCTGTAAAATAAGTGGTAATATTGGAGTTATCAAATCTAAATTGATGGGATTCATTACCATCTCTTTTCTTTGACCATCTCTGGCAGTCATTTTAGTTTGGAAAAAATTTAAGTATTTTTTTTTAAATAAAAGCATATGAAATGGTACAATTAATGAAGTGACATATGACTATATTCATACAACTTTTAAAACAAAATTGATTAATAAAATGTTCAAGTTAAACATAAGGTGGACTTGGAATTTAATGCAAAAGTTAATGGGAAGAAAATAGAGTATATAAGGTAAAAAAAATTGTACACGTTTCTCCTGTTTAACAACAGAATGCTCAGCATTGACCTGTAGTTGATGAGATTATTCCCTTTTCCAGATAAATTCACTTCTCTGGTCCAAAGCATATGTTAAAGGAAAACGCAAAGTACCATAACCAATACAGCTCTCTGTAGTGGTTATAGTGCCATCCAGGACTGCCTTGCCTCCCTACCCTCCACCTGTAAGTAGTCAGACCATTCTTGAATGGTTTGACCTCTTACCTGGTATCATCCAGGCACTGCTCCCAACCTCCACTACTACCGCTAGAAAGCCAGAGCCTGCTGTGTGATCACCTGATTACACCGAGCTGCAGTGGTTATGAGGCTTGGATGGTTCATTTAATGGTTAATGAGCATTCGGACCATGTACTACTTTGTGTAAATGCATAAACTGTTGCTACATTAAGATTTTGCTGTACCTCCACCTAAAGGTACAATAAAAATGGCAATTCTATAATCGCAAGATAATTTGGCCTTCCTATGTGAAATGACTAACTTGGCGATGTTTCAACCTCCACTTTGGTCTTCGTCTGGAGTCTTGAGAAAGACTTCAGTGGGAGCCACAACGTTGCCAAGTCAGTCACAAGACTGATTAAAAGGTAATCCTTTCGCTAATACTAAGCATCTCATTGAAATTACCATAATCCATTTGGGGGTCTATATTAAGTAATGGCGTTTTACCAACAAATTATAACTTGCTTTATATATCATTTTACAATCATTCTCACAGTAGTACACCACAGCTATAAATGTGATCCCTTGGTATGTTTATTGCAGACCTTATTAAAAACTCTAACAAGAAGAGCATGTGAAACGCTCATTATTTATATATTGGCAGGCTATGCTATACCTCCAAAGTGTGGGACTTTTCCATATTTCCTTTGGAGATTACATTTTTTTCCCCTTAGCAGTCCATCAGCAGATGTGGTTTCCATGGATGTTTTAGTCACTGGAGCTTTTTGTCACCCAAGTGTTAATGATAACATCTGGGAAAATAGTTTAATTGTTAACTTATTGGCTACTCTAAAACCCTTTGCACACATTTGATGTGTATAGTATCTCCCTGCCTGCATTTTAATGTAAGCATTACCTTTTCAGGGAAAAGGCAGTGTTTGCATTGCTGCCTAGGGACACCCCATGTGACAGTCACTCAGATGGCCAATAGAGGTGCTTCCTGGGTCAGTGCTGCATAGTGTGCAGCACTGATGTTTGGCATCTCCCCACTCTGCATGTAGACACTGAAAACTCCCCATAAAAATGCAGAGATACAAGATTCAATGCATCTCCTCATTTTGCTGCACTTGCATAAAGGCCTCTCAATGCTTTCCTATGAGAAAGTATTGGATTGGTTGAGATAATCAAAATTTATGATCTTCGCCAAAAGACGTAGAGTGTGGATGGGGCCAGCCATGACGAGACCTGATGGGGAAAAAAGGTAATCTACCTTTTTCATGGGGGGCAGGGGGTAGGCAAGGGGTGCTAGACACCTAGATTTGTATTCCTGACACTTTAGCGTTCCTTTAAAATGTGCTGGTGAAACCTAGATGCACTAGGACAGTACTATGTCCTATAAATAAATGAAAAAAGTATGACTGACTACTATTCTACCTATGATGAATGCTCCTTGTGTGTAATTTAAAAAAAAAATGTAAAATAATATTTTATTATATAGAAAATGAAACAATCGAACAAACCGCGAGGAGGGAGGGATTTGTCAACCCAGAGTCTCCCCTCCATGTTCTTCTGTATAAAGTATTATGCAGTATTTGTGATACAGCTAATTAGAAAATAAAAGGAACTTCATATAAATTCTTTTAGTAGTACTTTTTGATAAACTACTTAATTTGAAGTCTTTTTTGCTTTAGGTGCCGCAATACTTTAGGTTTATTCACATTTATTTATAGAGCTGCATGTAGATTTTTCTTTTACATTTTTTTTTCATTTTAATCATATGGTTTTTCTGATGACGTTTTCTAAAGTACTGAACTAAGCTCAGCTGTTTAAGTGTTGCTTATTTAAAGTAAAGGCATTGTCAGAATGATTAAATCTGTTGTTTTAATATGCGTGTTTTTATTTATAAAGAGTCCTGATGAATATGATGAAGATGAGGCAGGCCAGAAAGAACGGAAGCGGGAGGATACAGTTACCCAGGAAAACACAGTACAGAACGAGTCATTCAACATAGAACAAAGTGATGCTTATTTACAACAGGTTCGTTTTTATTTTATTAGATTTTATATATATATATATATATATATATTGTACATTATCTATTGTAATACCTGCTGCTCAAATTATTTGTATATTCGCTAAATGCAATGTTAGACATAGCACAATGACATGGGATCTGAATGATAATATTTGCACAATAAGAAAATTATTTTTTTTCTTATCCAAAATGGGTCTGGAATATAATCTTTTAACCCTACAAAATCCCTATGCTTTTATATTTCTACAGTTGTTTAAAAGTCATCTGACTACAAAAACCAGATCATATGCGCATTAAACAAAGTCTCCTAGATCTGATTTGGCATCTGCATTGTAAAATGATTTTAATTGTTACTGAGTTTCTTGCACGGAACTCAGAGAACTGATGTGGTACATGATTACCAGTTACTAAAACACAAGACATGCCTGCCGCCAATATCCCCAGAGCTTTGTGCTCCCAACCTGTTGCCAAGAATTTAAGGCAAACCGTCTGCATTAGTTCTCTGTATTTTATTAGGGAATTATGCAAACAAAAATGTAATGAATCTCAAACTATGAATATACTGGGTACCTCTGGAGCCTAGTGTCATCTGAATGTTGTTAATTGTATCAACACAGACTGTAGAGGATGTATACTTTAACTTGGTATGAGCTGCCACTTATAGAGCTTTTTAATGTTGATGTATTTAAACAACTCATAAAGATATGTTTATCAAATTAATGTATAGCTATAAAATCTCACATTTGCTAAAACCCAGTGTTTTGACATAGTTCAAATCTCATTTTTTAAAACTTTTTTTTTAATAAACAAAGGAAAGGTTGATGTGTAAAACAAACTGATCCATTATCATATAATCCCCTTATGTCCTTTGTTGGCGTGCCATAACTTATGAAATTTGTCCTATATCCTCTTCATTCAGCAATCACAGGCTGTGCATTGTACAGCGCTACAGAATCTGCTGGGGCTATATAAATAAAATAATAATAAAGGAGGTTTGTTAGTCAGAGTTGTACATGTAAAGGGAAGCTTTGGAGGTTTAACAAGTTCTGTGTGAAGGGAGAATCAGCTTTTGTGTCTTTGAAGAGAAACAAGTCTCAAGTCCTGACATGCATATAAAATTGTTAGGCTATTTATAAAAAAAGACAATACTATTGCCATAAGAAACAAGGAAATGTAGGATCATTTGCTTTGCTAATTGCCCTGAGAGTTGCCCTTCTTTTAGGAATCTGTTCTTTATAAACTCGGATGGAGAGTTGTGCCCTAGCAAATAATGGTGTTGTAGCATCAGTGTCTACCGCATAGAGGAATCTTTGTGAAAACTACTGGTTAAACAATACTTTTGTATAAACCCCTAAATCAAGGAATGACAAGAATGTGACCAGCTGGTTTATATTTAAAACATTTAGGTTTCCTGTTCTCTCAAAATTCTTTTCCTTCCCTTCTATCTTCAGATTCACCATCCTAATTCCCTCAGCAAAGAAACCAAAATCTTGGCTATCATTACCTTTTCTCGCCCTCCTGCCCACCTTTCTTCACTGCATGATACCACAGCTGTCTCTAATCTTATCTATTTAATTGCCTCTCATGTCACACAGTGCTTGCATAATTCCTGTGATCTTTAGCTGTTACTTGAGATACTTCCTGCAACTTTGTGTCAGCTCCCCGTTATTATGTTTAGATCCTAAACTCATGAGTTTTTGGGTCTAGGCACTTTGTATAAAAGTACTGTATTTGCTATATTGTAAGCTTATGGGCAGGTCTTCTGTTAACTTTTTTTTTAATCAGTACATGCCATGCTGGCTCTCTATTATAATAATAATTAATAATATAATATAGAAATGCCTACATCTCCTATCTTAAAGGACCACTATAGTGCCAGGAAAACATACTTGTTTTCCTGGCACTATTGGGTCTCTAGGTCCCCCCCACCCTTAGGGTCCCCCTCCCACCGGGCTCTAGGGTGAGGAAGGGGTTAAACACTCACTCCTTTCCCCGTCATTGGCTGAATGCGCATGCGCAGGAAGAGCATGAAACTATGTTTACAGCAGAAAGGGTTAATCCTAGAAGGACCTGGCACCCAGACCACTTCATTTAGCTGAAGTGGTCTGGGTGCCTATAGTGGTCCTTTAACATGAAAGACACATCAGAGATAAAATGTGCTTTAGTGGTCTTCCCTCTTACCCAACTGGGCTTCTTTTCTTAGACTGATGGGTGGGTATTTAATTGTCACGCCATGTGGATTATACCCATGTTACACTGCCGTGACTTAGTTCAGTAGTTCCAAACACAGTGCTTGAGCCGCATTTAAAGTCCTACATTGAGTTCCTTTCTTAACAACTTGGATTGTGCTCTGCACCTTGAAACCAAAAAGTCATAGCAGCTACTTATTTTATATATTAAAAGTAAAAAAATAATAAAGGTGAAAGCAAGCAATTTGAATTAAGATTGGCACAATCAGAAATTCCTTTAGTTCTACTTGCTGTAATATAAACAGAAAATGAATAGCCGCACTCGATTACATTAAAAAAAACAAAAACTGTATTTAATAGTCTGGGGCAATGCAGTAAGAGTTTATTTAGTACATTGTGTTCCAATTTGTGAGACATTCTTCATTTAGTAGAAAATATATGATATGTAGGTGGTCCAAACAATTTATTGTACATTATATCGATTTGTCATTTATGAATCCCCTCTGATTGAAACTTGGAACATCTGGGGGGTAAGACCCTATTTATTTATTTATAAAATATTTTACCAGGAAAGATACATTGAGATTTCTTTCGTTTTCAAGTATGTCCTGGGTCCACAAATCATTGCATTGTTACATTATGGTACAATAAAATACAAAAACAATATTCATACACAATAAATACAAAATGTAACATAGAACAGATAATGTTTTGATAATGTTTTCAATATTAAGAATAAAATGTCATCCTGATAAATGTTAAACCTGTCATTTTGTTTTTCGTGTTAATTTAGGATCCGTGTCACATTCATTATAGTCTAGCTCGTATAACGAATTCCCTCTGTTTTGCATTTTTTCTTTATTTTATTTTTTCTATCTGTTTTACGCTTCATTGCCAAAGCCTATATAATGTTCCAATATTTGCAGAAACCATAAAAGCAAAAAAGCTGAACAACACATTTCCATCACATGACTGAGTTTTCTGCTTTGAGAAAATCTGTCAATCAGACGGTTTTAGCCTTTGGGAAGAATGTTCCTGTTAAATTACATTGGGTTTCTGTGGTGCAAACGCGTATGATTCAGCAACTAGTATTCCTAAGGAATGTATCTGGTATCTATTATTTTATTTAATGGGATTTATGGTTTTGGGGTTTACATGTTCTCTTCTGATTTATATTAGTTATATGCTGATGTAGAAATACTTCTTACTATTAGCTATGGAAAAATGGATGCTGAGTGCATCTTTAAGTCCACACATGTTGGAACTTGTTTCCACTGCATCTTAGAGCTGACAGGACCATATAACTTGACAGATAAGCAACATTGGGAACAGAATTTTAGAAACCAGGGAATGTTCAAAGAAAGCAACTCACAATGTTTCATGTTCTTATAGATGAAATATAAACAACGGAACACTAATTCACTTTTTATTTCGTGAAGAAAAAAAAAAGATGGATGGAAGTGCTTTTTTTTTTCTGTGCTTGAAGGGATACTCCCAACACCATAACCACTTCAACTTGCTGTAATGTTTATGGTGCAAGGATCATGTCCTTTTCAATCAAATTTCACATTTGGGATTACTGAAAAGCCCTAAAGCAGTGAAGCTTCCTGAGAAATAAGCACTTTTATAAAGATACACACTCTCATCTCTCTGACGCCCAGTAGGGTGCTCTTCCTTATCTTATTGTGCCCCATAAGTTGCGCACTGCTTTCTAAAGCTTCTCTAACTCCCCACCCTCCCACCACATCAGAGGCTCAGTAATCTGAGTGAAAGGAGTTGTTTTTTATTTATTTTTTATTTGTAAGACTGAAGTGTTCCTTTCATTTCTGCATATATATTTTTTATCTGTAACTCCACCACCCTGACTAGTCACCTTATTAGAGAAAGTTCTCTTCCTTATTTAATGATACAAGTATATGTGTGTGTTCTTAGTAGTCTTCCATTTATTGTAAGATGTGTGTTCATCAAAATACTGATTTGCTTGGGGTGCGTATACACCATACAAAAATAGGTATCATTAAACAAGTAAGCAAAGCTTTGTATGAATCACATGAACCTCTTCAGTACTTTCAGATGTGGGCACTGCCGTTTTCAGACTTTTTTTTCAAATTTATTTTATCCCCTCAATAACATTCAAGTACAGATGCAGTAACTATTTATAATTTTGTGCAAAAAGACAAACCAGTGTAATTTCACCTACCTCTCTTGGTTTCCCAATACATTCAATCTAATTCAAATCAGCCACTTACTTCTGTTGGGTACTTATTGAATAAAAGGAAACTTAGAGTGTTTTAATAAACTGACATTGTGTCTCTGCAATATTAGCACACAATATTACAACTGACATGTAGATAATATGATAATTTCTTGCTCCCACACGTCTTGGGTACCACTTGCAAAATCACACAAAATGTACAGAAATACGTGGATGTAAACTGGAGTGTTGTAATGAGTGCCACCAATACATTTTTGCTTATCTTACCTGCAATTTACCTGCTAGATCCACACTATATAAGATCTTAAAATAAATGAATCAAAATAAAAATTGTCTAAAGAATCGTATGTAGTATGGATCCGTAATGAAAATTGCAAGATTAGCGTTTTTCACTATTGAGATTTTCACAGTAAATAGTTTTATATCATTATTGCAATGGTGACGCTTATTATTATAATGTTCCAATTCACAGTCCCGTATTAGTGCTTTACGTCTGCTATGTAAAACTCTTCTTACCTGTACAAAGTCAAACAAAACGGACTGTTATATGTATATGTTTTATTTTATAAATGTTGTGATTAGTTTTATAAACCTATTATTTTTTTTATTTTTTTTTGCGTTCCCTGTTTAGGAAACCGCAAGGACAGTGCCAAACAGATATCGAAGGTGAGACTCCTACTACTTAAGGAAAGTACATTGTAATTGACTGTACAGTATTTTCTTCTCAAATTTCCATCTTGGATGAAACCTAAAACTGCAGGAATGCAAATGGTCTTGTCTGTGTTGTGTTTTGTGTTTCTGTAGTAACGGAAAGAGTTTACTTTATGCAAAGATGTTTTTGAAATGCCTATACAGGTTTAAACTTAAATACTATTGACTTTGTTTAGCTTAGTAGGAGCGGTTTTATCACTGATGGATATTATACTGTAGAGATTTTCAGTTATGTGCTGCTGTCTGGTACATGAATATTTGTTGATGTAGGAATGATTGACTAGTGAGTCATCTTTTTAGAGAGCTTTTAATTAAAATCTATAAACATGCTAGCATTTCTATTCACACAATGCATAGATAACATTTTCTGCTCTTTAATTTAATTTAAACTTAAAGGGACACTACGGGCACCCAGACCACTTAATCTTATTGAATGTAAAACATTGCCGTTTTAGAGAAACTGCAGGGTTAAGACTGCCTTTTGTGGCAATCTACCAGACAGCCACCAAAGATACTACCTGCAGGTACACAGAGTTTGACTCTATGAAATTAAGCTGGACTTTGCGTGAGGACATCCAGTATGAAGCAAACCCCATAGGAAAGCACTGAGTAAAAGCTTTCCCATGGGGAAGGGTTAATGCTCATGCAGCATTCGCTGTGCATTGGGTCCCCCCAACATATCGGCTGACGTTAGAGGAAGTTTTTTTTTTCCCTCTAAATTTAATTTTTTAATATAACCCTTTCTTGGACAGAGAGGGACCAGGATGGGCTGCGGGGGGCAGAGGGACATTATAGTGTCATACATGGAATACATGTTTAGCTCCCCAGCCCCCCTCTGTGGAGATAAAAGGTAATAAATTTACCTTTAATCCACTGCCGCACTGGTCTTGCCACGGCTGGCCCTACCTCCATGGCTAAGATCATCAATCTTGATGATCTCAGCCAATCCAATGATTTCCCATAGGAAATGCTGCTCTATCAGGAACGTTCAGCTTTTCATGCAAACACTGGACTAGGAAGCACCTCTGGTGGCCATCTCAATAACTGCCAACAGAGGTATTCCTAGGCAGTAATGTAAATACTGCCTTTTCTCTGAAAAGGTAGTGTTTTAGAGAGCTAAGACTGCAGGGACATGCTATAGACACCAGAACCACTACAACAAGCTGTACTGGTTCTAGTGACTATAGTGTCCCTTTAATGTGTGTGTAATATGAGAGGTACAATTTTTAAAGACATGTTTGCAAAGCAGGGAAATGTACATTCTAAGCACCATAGCTCCACTGTAGTGGTTATGGTGCAAGGAGTTCCCTAGTGCCTCCACCAGTGTAAGTCGGCAAACCGTTTGGCTAAAAGTCTAACAGCTTACCAGGCATCCAAAAGTCACCTCCACTGAAAGCTCGAAGCTCTTGCAAAGAGCTTATTCCGAGCTAAACCATGCCACACAGAGCAAGCTCATTGGCTAAGAACTTTCGCTGACTCCTCTGACTGCTATTGAGCAAGGTGTTGCGCCATTTGCAATTGGTTTGACTACTCACATTGAGGGGGGCATCAGGGCACTCTTGGCACCATAACCACTACAGTGCACTGATTAATATAGAATGCCTTCAAGGCTAAATAAAAAGGTGAGGACAGTCACAGCAGACACAACAACCTGTATTTTAAAAGATTATATGCAGTTCAGTAGGGTGCTTAAACACCTGCAAACCTCCACACACCATCCATTATGTCCACCAGTTTCCATCACATCTTCCAACACTCATGGATTGGGCTCCTGTCTTGTCCTGAGTTTCTTCCCTGGTGTCCTGCATCTTGGGACACAAGAGGAATGACCTAAGTAAACAAGGCCAGCCTGTCAGTTCCATGGGATGAAGAAACCATTTTTAGGGGCTAGCAGATTTAGCTACAAAACAAGAAGCAAGACATAATAGTGTGTGTAAGGGAATGATTTGCAATTTTGGTAATTCTGTGAGTATTGAGTATGTATGTGGATAATTGTGTATATTTGATAGTTATATACAGTGATGTATGTGTTTATAGGGCAGCATTTTGTTCATGGGCCAACCCAGTCAGTAAGTACAGCAAATATTCTGTGTCTAATGTTAATTGCTTGCTAGTTATAGATTTTACATTTAGTTGATATATGAAGCTTTTTTTAAATAAAAACAGTTTTGTATCATAACAAATATTTTAATATTAGTATAATCTAGGTACAGTGGCCTTTTCTTACCATAACGTTTTAATTTGCACACAGCTGCTTTACCTGAAACAAAGCTACATTCCAAGGTCGATGGTCAAGACACGAGGGTTCCATTTTTGTGCTTGTTCAGTGCGAACCTTTCCTTATGAATGGTTCACGAAGCAGAGTGGAACCAAACCTATTGTGAATGGTTGCATTAACTTTTTAGTTCTGGGTTTTTCGAATATCAAAGTGCAAGTGTATGGCCGTATAACAGTCTTGTTCTGACTGGTGGAAACTTCTCTCTGACCAGCAAGCTATTGCATTGTGCTTAAATCTTTTAGCAATGTGAAATTCATTTGACAGGCAGAAAAGTCCAGATATAAACACAGTAAATACATCATTAAATGTCTATATTTTCTTCTATATAGTTCAGCTTACAGAGATAATATGGAAAACCCATCGTTGGCAGTGTTGGGAACTTTAACCGTCCTATAGTTAAATACTCTGCTCTTTTGAAGAGTTACTTAGTGGATCAAATGGATAAATTCTGTTACACAGAAAAATACTTTTATAGAGTTCATGTGTTTCATAAATGTTATAGTGGACTCTGAGTAAGTTTGTCACACTGTGGTGGTGTCGTGAAGTAATGGTAAAGCATGTATTATTATGGCAAAAATATTGCAATTGATGGGTTTTGAAGGCCAATAATACATGCTTTATTAAATCTTGTATGATAAAAAAAAAAAATCAAAAAATCTTATGTTTCATGTTAGGGTTTTATTAAATTAGGACAACACCGGGACATATCCTGACCTGCACAGAATTGGTGTGAGTTGCACATCTCAGCAGCAGCATCTTTTTGTGCCTACTGTCGTTCGTAAATTTTAGAGTAAAATTAGTTGAATCCTATACAATTTTTGTCTTTTCAAGCATATTATTAATGGGAGAGAGACTGAATTATAAGTGGCAGCTCCTACCTGGTGGGATGTAACTCCTACTAATCTCAACCAAGCCACACAGCACTGTTTAGGGAATAATGTGTGTGTATGTGTTTGTATATATTTATTTATTTATTTTCAGTAGCCTGTGTTTTAGAATCCTGTAGCACATGAATGATGACATTATTACTGCAAATATTCCCTTAATATAATGAACAGGGGATAATGCATTGTTCACCTCAGTCCTGCAATCCTAATCTGCCCAAGATTAATGGAAGTTAAGCACTCGAGCGATTACTGCCACCATTTTAATTGAGCGGAATTAAAAGTGATACAATAGTCATTGAAGTGGTTTGGGTACACTGTACCTGGCCCCTGTTAGTCCTGCAATGTAAATCATTACAGTTTAGAGAAACTGCAATAATTACCTTGCAGGACTAAGCCTGCCTCTAGAGGCACTTCCTGGATGTAAGTGTCTGTGAAATACCCATACGAAAGCATACTCTCAGAGGAGGAGGTGGAGCGTCGACCCAGCGTCAAGAGAGATCAGCACTGGAATCAGTCAAGTAAATAAAGGATTTATAAATAAATATATATTATCTTGTTTTATATATATATATATATATATATATATATATATATATATATATATATATATATATATATATATATATATGTATATATTTAACCCTTTACATACCGAGATACCTTTATATCGGGTGAGTAATTTCTCTCTCTTTTTTTTTTACTCCTTTACATGCAGATTTGTATTTTTAACCCTATAGAATCCCTTAATGTTGGGAGCTATCGCCATTTTAATTCAGCTAGTATACAAGTTGATAGTGGCAACAGCTAAAATAGCCACGATCTGGGACTGTAAAGCCCACTAATCATGGGAAACATGGATGACCTGCCTGTATGCCTGTATGTCTCAGTACTGCACGAACATTAGATTCCTCCTATTAATCCTTACTCTAACCCTAACACACTAACCCTAGCCTATAATAGACTGTTATATGAGATGTGTAGAAGAGTGGTCACACAAGCCTGACGATCTTTTCTCTGAAATATAAACCAATCAACCTTGAATTGAGTGGTTCATTGTGGGCTCTCCATAATTTCGTTATGGTATGGTTCATCATAATGTATCACTTATATAATGTAGCCATCTGTCACAATGGTTTTAATGTTTAGTCCATGGTTTCCACAGTCTTATTGCATGTGAAAATGACTGACTCGCCATACTAATTTTAAGAACTTATTTTAGTGATTCTGTGAACTCATTTTGATGCAAATAGCCACCTTAATTACTGATGCACCGTGCAGAGCCCAACAAAATTTCCTAATGGAGAGAAAAACTGATTCAGGGATTTAACGGACCCTAATAACACATGTCAGTCTGCCTTTCTCAGATCACCTTCTGTTTGCATATAGGGTTATAAAATTTGGAGTACCAGGCCACTTGCGAGGCATTAGCATACTCACCAAGTGACATTTTCTACCCACCAGGTGACATTTACTTGGTATAGATGACTCATGTTTAATCTCCTTCCTGTACTGGAATGCATCCACAAAAATCCTTGTTAAAGTTGGAAAGCTTAACGAAAATCCTCAAAAATTTCCCTCTCTAAAGGGTAAATCATTTAAAGGAACACTGTAGTGTTGGAATACAAACTTGTATTGTTAATTCTATGGTGTTCTCCTCAATGTTTAGATTCTCCTCCTCACCTCCCCCCCAATATTAAATTGACAAAAGGGTGGGGGCGAAGTTGTAACTTACCATTTTTCCAATGTCGACACTCACTCGGTGCTGTTTGCTCCTACAATAAAATGCATTCCATAAGAAACATTCAGAGGAGGTGGTATGTGAGTGCATAATCCGAATCACTGAATATCACATGTATATTTTTCTTTATGAGATTCTCCGTTTTCTTTTTAAATGTATAGGGCATACCCTAAGCAAGGAAACCACTTTGAAAACAACTTTTGGAATGCTTAATGAAGCAGTTTTGGTGTATAGATTATGTCCCTGCAGTCTTACTGCACAATTATCTGCCTTTTAGGAGTTTTTCAGAATACTTTTTCAATCCCACCTTACAGCATAGTGTGTTTACTTTATAAGTTCTTATCTCCTGCTCTGTTAATTGAGCTTTAATAACACACATGGGGTTCCTGTAGGCTCTGGAAGGCAATTA